GGGGGAATCAGAAAAAACTACGAACGACGACGGCGACGGCGGAACGAGAGAACGCGCCACGCACGAGACGGCAAGTCGGCTGGCTGTGCGCACAGCGCCAGGCACTGGCGGGTACGCTGCATCCTCAAGCACGGCGCAGGCAGACAGCGGCCTTGTCCCAGCAGGAGGCACGAGGAGATGGATAATAAGAGGACATTGACGCTGCAGCCGCATCGGTGAACGTCTGACCCGCGTTGAAAAGGCAGATTGGGAACGCACTGACCTGGGTCAACACAAACCCCTGTGAGTCAGGCCTTGCAGAATTTTGCACAAACCCGCAGGATCCAACAGGATCCTGCGCCCTAGCCTGGGTCAGTGCAATCCTGGCAGTGCAGTTTTATATGTTCCGGCGCTCTGGCAGCCTCCCGTTCGCACTGACCACCATTTCTTTAGCCCCGCCCACACAGTGGGGTGCCTCCAAAAGGTAAAAACGATCCTAAATCTGGTGCTGGTGATAGCAGCTCGGCCACCAAAACGCCCGCAGCTCAACCCGCCATCACCGAAACCGGGCTCACCGTCCCTCGGTTCAGGAAGCCGCCGCTACCAGTGTTGCTGCCGACCGTTGGGGAAGGGGGCAGAGTTCTTAGAAGGATGCTAACATGAGATGTAGCGACCCCTATCCCAGTGTTGGTGGGGTTTTCAAATGGACCGAACATTTCGGGCCAAACCTTGAGATAAACGATGGTGGGCGTCAATGCTCGATAGGGGTGCAAACGCCGACGCCAGTGTTGATGCCAACCGTTGGCGGCACGCACAATGGGGGTAAGGGGAAAGGGGGATGCTGCTTAGAAGGATGTTGTTTCTTGCAACCAGCCCGTGCACTAAGAACCCACGATCAGGATGCGGGCCTTGGAAGGCCATGTCGAAACTCTGCGAACGGGGCGCGACCAGCAAAAGCGGCCAAGGATGGGCCGAAGGGGAAAGATGCACGGGTAACCTTGGAACGTCGTTCATCCTTACTATGCGGGTTTGCCGTGCCCGCATCGATGCCAGCTGATGGCGGCGCGCGCAAGGGGGCAGGGGGAAGGGGGGAGGCTACTCAGAAGGATGCTGCATGTTTAGGTAGGCGCGCTCCACTACTCGCGAAGTAGCCACTCGCAAACGCCCTGGATCCGCCGCGGACGATTTACGGCCCAGTGCATAGAGGCAAACCTGTTTTTTGTGTTTGTTTGTGTCGTTTGCGAATCGGCACTTGCGAGTAAGGGAACGCGCCTGGTGACTCTTAAGGGGGCGCCAACCCTACATCTACAGACGAGGCCCGCACCTTCTAGGAAGCAGGGGTGCTTCTAAGAACCCCCCCCGCTCCCTCTTGCCCCTCGTCCCCGAGCACGGCATGCCAGACTGTTTCATCGATCGACAGCCGCGGGCAGCCAATGCGCCGTGCCTCTATATATCGAAGATGGCTTCCTCTGCGTGGGAGACGACGACCTGGCCGCGACCGCCGCAGCGGCCAGCGGGCTGCTGGTGACCCGCGCCCCGGGCGTCGCAACGCGGGCAGCGCTGCGCCCAGCTAATTATCCCAGCTGGGGGCGTGGACTTGCCGGGCCGCGCGGTAGCCGCGCTCGTTGCGAATGCGTTGCCACGCGCCCCCGACGCCCCTGCCGCGCGACTTTGCGCCGCCGCCGCAAGGACATCGAAAAGAGCGATGCGCTTTGCAACAGAGGTGCCCCCCGCAGACCGGGCCTGCGCGCGGGCCCGCGCGGGCGCGGTTTGCGCAGAGCGTGCGCGGCGGAGGTAACTCTTGGCCTAGACGAGCGCGCGCTGTCAGGCAGAGCTCAGCGTCGCTAAGTCTCTGCCCCGCCGCCCCTGGCGCGGCCTGCTGCCGGGCAGCTGCGCGCGGTCCGCCGCGGGAGCCCGGTCTCGCCTTCTCGATTCTCCTCGCTGGCGCAAGCGCCCCGCAAGGCTGAGCAGCTTTTCTGGCCAAGCCTGCGGGTGAGCGCTTTTTACACCGTGGTGCGAGGTTCGTGAGCGAGGGCGGCCCAGGCGGGCAGCGCGCCGGCCTCCTCTCCCGGCCCATTGCCTGGCGGCCGAGCGCCGGCCTGCGGTTGCGGCTCCAGCAGGGGGCGGGCGGCCCGGCAAGCTGCGGCAAGAGACTGTTCGGCCTGCTCCAGGTCGTCGAGTGCCGCCAAGCCAGCGCGGGCACGCGCCACCGCGAGGTTCTGGGCCCAGGAGCCCGCCTAGGCCGCCGGCGCCAGCTGCTCTTGGCTGCGGAGGCCGCGGCCGCCGAGGCGCAGCCGTAGTCTGCAAGGCCCTCGCTGCGTCTCCGCGAGCGGGTCGAGCCGGAGCAGTTGCCTGTAAGCAGACAGGAGCGCCTCGTCGTAGCTGGCCGCGGCGGCCGCCGTGCTCGTCGGCGGTGTGGTTCTGAGCAGGTTGGTGAGCTTGCCAGTGCCGCAGTTGCGCAGAAGCAGTGATGCTGCCTGTCTCGCGGGCAGGCGCGGCGAGGCCTCCCCGGGCCGGTCCGCTAGCTTCTCGAGGAGGGCGGCTGCGCGCCTCGCCACTCGGGCGCTGTGCTCGGCGGCGTAGCCCGTCGTCCCCAAGGCGACCCGGCGCTCGTCTCCTGCGCCTGGCAGGTCGCCTGGCGGCTGCGCGTCCTGCGGCGCGCCCGCCAGCGTGAGGCCTTGTGCCCGCCAATAGCTCTCCAGGCCTGCTGGGCAGGCCGCGCCCGCAAACCAGGCCTGCGGTCTCGCTGGTTGTAGTTCCAAGCCAAACTCCCCTAGGGCGCGCTGTGCAGTTGGCTCCACCTGGGCTGCCAGCGCGGCCGGGTCGACCACGGCGGCGTCATCCAGGTAATTAAGCGAGGACGTGGACGTCCTCGGCTCGCAGCCCCGCGCGTTCCGCCGCGGCTCGCAGCTTCTCCTCCAGCCAGCGCATCTTCGGTTTGGCGCCGCAGGCGTTGAGGAGCGGCGCCAAGGGGTCCCCCTGGTCCACTCCGCTCGCGGCTGTGAGGCGCCGGCAGCGGCCGCGACCGTCCCAGTAGAGGTACTGGGAAGTGCGCCTGCAAAAGAGCTTTGCAAAGGGGGGGAACTCTTGAGCCTCGGTCTCCCGCCCAGCGAGGCAGGCCGCGCGGTCCGCTGAGCCGTAAACGATTTTCGCGTCCAGAGCCACCAGTACCGTGTCTGGGCGGGACTCGGCGAGCGCGCGCGCCGTGTGCGTCAGGAGCTCCGTGCCGGCCGCCGTGCCAATGCTGTACTGGTGCCTGCCCAAACTCTCGGCCAGCTCTGCCTTCCGCGGCTGTAGCACCGCTCGCCCCACCAGCCGCGGGAGGACGTTTGGCGCCGCGATTGGCCTGACGCCGCCCGCCGGTTTCGGGAGCGGCGTGACTCGCCAGCGCCGCTGCTGCGCTCTCTGGAACGCGGCCCTGCGCGATGAGGTCGCGCACCCCGCAGAGCGCGTCCGAGGCGTTTGGGTCCGCGAGGGCCGCCCGCCAGTGCTTGTAGCGCCCCCCGCCGGCCGCTGCCCCGCTGCCCTTCGGGCTCGAGCGGAGGGCTTGCTTGAGCGCCCGATGGCTCAGCGGCGGCTGCCCGGGGTCTCGCTCTCGAGCCGGCAGAGGTTCTGCACGCCGCAGCTGGAGTACAGCTTGTAGCCTGGGCTCGCCAGCAGCGCGGCCGCCCTGGAATACTCCTCCTGGAGCGTCTTCCAAACTACCTCGTCCGCCAGCTAACTCTCGTCCTTCTCGTCGCCGCCGCGCTCCTGGCGCCTGCGAGCGAGGCTGCGCGCGTGGCCGTCTGCCTCTCGCGGGAGCTGCTCCCAGGCGCCATCGTGGAGGCGAGAGCAGCGCTCGCGCACCTCCTCCTCCTCCTCCTCCTCCTCCTCCTCCTCCTCCTCCTCCTCCTCCTCCTCCTCCCCCTCCTCTTTCTTCCCGTCCCCCTTCCCCCCTCCTCCTCCGCCTCCTCCCCCTCCTCCCTCCGCCGCCCGCCCCATGTCCCGAGCTTGTAGCGGGGTCATCAGCTCGTCGTTGTCGTTGTCGTCGTGGCTGTCGTCGCGGTCGTCGCCGTCGTCCTTCTGGGTCGACGGCGCTGGCCGTAAGGCCTTCACGATAGGTAGACACAAGCCCCAGGATCCCCCATATTTCCACATACTTCCTGGAAGTTCGTCTTCCCCTCCACTTCCAGTGCAAGAGGTCCGTGCGGCGTTGGCGCGCGCAAGGGTTTTTGACACCGCGTCGATCGTTCAACCTTGAGCCGATCGCGACCCCGATCGTTCAAAATTGAATTCCGTCGGGTCCTGTGCCGATGCCGTGCCCCTCCGTGTTTCCGCGTCGTTCTATCATGCGGAGTTCAACCTTGAACGCCTTCGCTGGCGTCGTCGGCGCGCCATCGCCGCATGAACCTACCGTATGTTCCCAGATTCTCCTGACAATTGACGAGTGTGTCCGTATATTTTCCCCCGAACGCGGGCCCGCCCTCGCGTCAGGCGCCACCCAGCTCCTCCGCCAGCAGGGCAGACTTTGGACGAAGCCGACCGCGCGCCAGACCAGCTCGAGATTCGGCGGCGAGCCCGGGGGGGGAGTGAGAAGGAGAAAGCCTTCTCAGAAAGGCCAGAACCCCCCCGGCCTTCTGAGAAGCTTTCTAAGCCTTCCCGGAAGATACGGATAACTTCTCAAAAGCGCGAGGGCTTCTGAGAAGCCTCGGCGCCTTGTGAGGAGGTCTCCTCCTTCTCACATCTGCCCCCTCGCTCGCCGCCGAGACTAGAAACTCCGACCCCTTCCCCTGGGACGGGCTTCCATGCCGAGCCGCTCTGTGACGGTTCCGGGGCCCGGCGAGGATCCCCAACGGGACCGAAAGCAGCCAAACACCTCGCACCGTGACTTTTCGAGGTGGCCACCTGCGAACCCTACTCCCGCCCACCCCTCAGAAATCGTGGGGCCAGGGGGAGTATAGGGCTCACATGTGGCCACAGATTTTTCCACGACGCGAGAGCATGACGGGGAGGCTGGGACTGGCACAAAGGCCAGCGGCGTCCAAGGATACGCTGTCCCGCAGGCGCTGCCGGCGGTCGCCCGCCAGGCCGGCCAGCGCTGGGCTTTCGAGCAGCTCCGCGGCCAGGGCGTCCGAGACCTCCCGGGCACCGCCGCCGCCGCCGCCTGGCGGCGCACGGGCAGGCACCGCGGGCAGGAACCGCCGCAGCTGCGACTCCAGCGCGTCGTTCAGCGGGCCCATGGCTCGGGCGTTGCCAGAGGTGGCCCCTAGGCTCGGGCGCGAACCGGGGGGGCGGAGGGGCAGCACAACGAAGGCCAGGGCCGAGAATCGGCTCGCGCCGCCGGCTTGCCTGGCGCCTCCTGGCCCCGGGAGGCGCCCTGCAGGGCTCGAGGAATGGGCCCAGCGGCGGGATGGAAACCTGCTGCATACGGCAGGTGTCCTACAGCCCCACCTTTCCCGATCCCTTGTCGTCCGGCCCGAAGGCGGTCCCTGGCAGATCGAAGCGAGCCCGATGCCCCTGTGGCTGCCTCTCGGCGCGTGCCGCTGACACGTGGAACGGGACGAGAGTGACGCGGACAAGGAAGCCAGGACAAGGCGTTGTGCGCGGGACTCCAGGTCCAGAGAACGGGGTCCGAGGACCAGGGTCCGAGGACCAGGGTCCGAGATGTGGCCCAAGCTGTCCCCTGCCCTGCTTCTCGTGTGGAACAGGACGAGGAAAACGCGGACAAGGAGAGCAGGACAGGGCGTTGTGCGCGGGACTCCAGGTCCAGAGAGCGAGGTCTGGGGACTGGGGTCCGAGACATGGCCCAAGTTGTTCCCAGCTTCTCGCCCCAGCCTGCCGCGCCCCCCTGGGGCCATCTGGGCCTCGAGGGGACTGCTCTGGACCCCAAGCAGGCCTCCGTGCAAAATTTCCACGGAGGACCCCACGGTATCCAGAGCAGCCTTCACAAGGTCCAGAGGGCCCCAGGGGCTCCCAAATGGAGCGGAGAGAGTTTTTGGCGATAACGCCCGTGACTGCCCCTCTCCCCCCGCCCTCCCCCCCCCGGTCACGTCACGATTCGCGCCAGCGCCGTCTGAGAACGAGCCATTCTTAAACATTCCCAGACGGCGCCGGCGCGAATCGTAACGTGACCGGCCCTCTCCCCCCTGTACCCCCTCCTAGTCAAGCCCGTTCTCGCCAGGGGAGACAAAACGTTATCACATCCTGGGAACACCATGGCCAGGTCCAAACATGCGATGTCCTGACTTTTTCGATGCGGGCTCACTGGAAGTTCCGACCGCTTCCCCAAGTACGGGTTTTCATCCCGAGCCGCGTTGTGATGGTCCTGGTGCCCAGCGAGGCCCCCCGAATGCCGGAAACGGCCGAAAACCATCCGTCGTGTTTTTTCCACGACGCCGCGAGCATGTCTGGGGTTGGAGGTCGCTGGGGGCGGGGAGGGTTGTTTCCAATGCCACCTCCCAAAACGTTTGGATGGCGCGTTTGATCCGTCATTCGCGTTCCTTACGACCCCCATGCGCAACAAGCTGGGATCTTGGGCTTGCTCTTGCCGACGATTGGGCTGCTTAGGCTGGCCTTTGCCTTGCGAGCATCACCCCTCCCCCGTCGCCCCGGAAACACGGATCGCGTTCGCTGCCCCTCAGCGAGCTTCAAGTCCGGGGGGCCACCTCGGGCAACACACGTCGGCGGCGAGCGAGGGGGTGAAGTGAGCAGGAGCAGGCCTTCTCAGAAGGCCGCAGCGTTTCTCAGAAGCCCTCGGCTCTTCTGAGAAGTTGTCTGCATCTTCGGGGAAGGCTAGGGCAACTTCTCAGAAGGCCCGCGGACTTCCGAGCCTGCTTCGGCTTCACGCAAGGGTGACCCTTGGCAAGAGTGTCCTGTGGTGCGCGGCCCTAGGGCGGGCCTCTTGGGGACAACACCGGGCGCGCAAGCCGCTGCTACAGGATCGCAACCGGCTATCGGGGGGCCCATTGGGCCCGATCCAAAGGTCACTCTGGCAGAAGATCACTCTTACCTGTAGTCGACAGCGAAGAAGGCCGCCCCTTCTCGCACGCCTGCTGGTTGTTCGATCATATCTCGGCTCTCTGGTGGCCGTTCGGGACGATCCGCCCCCCCCAAAACGCCCTCGGCGAGGCGCAGCCGCAGGGAGGCATCCCGAGGCTCATTTGAAAGCCGCCGCAAACAGACGAGAACGCCCGAAAACCTCAAACCTCGAAGATCCTGCAGGATCCTGCGCGCTAGCCACGGCCAATGCAACATTGGCTCTGCAGGATCCTGCAAGATTTGGCGCTTTGGCTGACCCCTGGTCGCATGAACCCCCGTCTGTTGAGCCCCGAAGGCCCTCGGAATGGAATCGGAAAGTTCCGAAAAACACGTCGGATGGGGTCCAGTGGAACCTGCACAAAGATCGGGTCGGACAAGAGGAAGGGTCAGAGAGGAAGAGGGTCGAGAGGAGAAGAAGGAGGAGGAAGAGGAGGGCGAGGAGGAGAAGGAGGAGGAGGAGGAGGAGGAAGAGGAGGGGGAGGAGGAGGAGGGGGAGGAGCACGACGAGGGGGAGGAGGAGGAGGAAGAGGGGGAGGAGGAAGAAGAGAAGGAGGAGGAGGGGGAGGAGGAAGAGGACGAGGAGGAGGAGGAGGAAGATCTTCTTCGCTGCATCGCTGCCGAAGGCCACGGATATCTATGTGTTGGTTGCTCGCGTTCTCTGCAGCATTCGGGGCACCCCCAAAATCCAAAAACGAGTTTGAAACCCACGCGGCACACACACGGAACCTGCTGGTTAAAATGGGGAGGTAGGGAAGCAGAGCAAAGAACTTAAGCCAGGATGGTGACGGACGGCCCTCTCCTGTGCAGACTGCTACAAAGATGTGCATCTGAAGATGAATCAATCATATTCGGCGCATCGCTGCAGAGGACCACGGATATATATATATATATATATATTATATATATATATATATATATATATATATATGTAGGTTGCTCGCGTTCTCTGCAGCATTCGAGGCACCCCGGCGATCTAAACGCGAGTTTGAAACCCACGCGGCACAAACGAGTAACCACAACCCAGCAGACGGCGCACTCAAACTTTGGCCGACTTTTGCGGGCGAGCAACACAAACATACCCGAGGACCACGGCCCCAGGGCCCGGAAGGAAGTTCCTAGAACCAAAGCCAGACAACTGGATATAAGAGCGCATGCTACGGCGACAATGGTCGAGGAGCGCTCCCTCGAAACATCCGACAAGCCTTCGGCGCAGCTTCCGAGGGCAAGCCTCGGCAAACTTGGCTTCTAGTTGCAGGGCTCTTGCCTTCTAGTTGCATGTGGGGAATGCCCAAGAAAGCGCACGCGCCACGCCCAGAGCATCGTTTGGTCGCGGGGCCGAGGTCAACATTCACAGCACGGAATCTGGCGCGCTTCCACCAGGGCAAACCTTTGCCACACAAATCCATGAAATAAGAAGGGGAGGTCGACGACGACGGCGGAGGCGGGAGGCGAAACGCAAGGTGTAGCCACGCCGAGCTCTGTCCCGGGTTCTTGACCACGGCTGGGACCCCGAGCTCCGAAGCCTGTCGGAGTAGGCCTTCGCAAAAGCTGGCAAGGGCATTACCCGTTCCCGCGGCTTTCAAATCCCAAAGCTGAAGTCCAGGGGGCTCCAGGCACCAGGCCCCAGAGGAAACGCGGAGTTTCTCAAGGTCGCGGGCCCGTCGGGCCCGTTGCGAGCCGCGCTGCAACTATTGCGGCGTAAACCGATCCACGGGGTTCGGGGCGAACCGCCCTCAAGACGGGATCTCAGAAACTTCTGCGCAGTTCTCTTGGACAGGTCGTGCCGACTACCGTGCCTCAGATCGAACTGAAAAGATCGGGGTCTGTCTCAGCCTCGGCCGCCGCCCCCAAGCTGCGCCGAGGCGGCCCGTGCCGGAGAGCGGCTCCACCGCGAAGCCGCGGCCTCTCAGGAGGCCTGCCTTCCAGCGTCGCATCGGCTCGGCAGGGGGCGCGCGGAAGACGACCGCTCGGCGCCTTCGGCGGCGCGGCGCGCCGCCGGCGACCGCCTGTGCAGCCGCTGATCCGCCCTGCCGCCCTTCTTGTACCTCGCCACCGACGTCTCGGCGAGCCGCCGCCCGCGGCCCTGGATGCGGCGCAGGTCTCGCGCTCCGACGAGCGCGTCGCGCGAGGTCCCGCCGTGCGCCGGCGCGCGCAGCACCGGCGTCGCCTCCCCCTGGCGGCCCACGGCCTTGGCTGCGCTCTCGAAGCTCGTCGCCCACTCGCAGTAGCTGAACGGGGGCGCGGCGTGGTCCTCGACGACGCTCTCGCCCCCGGTGCCTTTCTTCGGGGTCATCGCCCACCTCTGTGGGTGAAGGGTCGCGCCCCTCTTCAAGGCAGAGCGCCGACGGCCGCCAGCTGGCGGCGCCCGATCGCACTCCCTGATCCTCAGCACCTCGCGCGGCCTCAAATAGTGGATACAAGCGAAGACGACGGCGGCGCCCCAGAGCCAGCTCCCCACGTCCACAAGGCGCTGGGCCACCAAGCGCGCTGCAGCCCACGGCAGCGGCAGGCGCGCCCGCGGCGGCTCCAGCTTCGGAAGCCCTGGCGGGCCACCTGGACCGGCACCAGGTTGGCGCGCCCAGGGCCAAGCCACAGGACGAACCCCGATCGCACCCGCCATCTTCCACGCCGTGTTGGACCTCCAACCGTCGTTGTACATCTGATTGAGCATCTCCGCCGCCATAACCTCCAGGTCCGCGATTCGTCGATATCGCGGCCCCCGCCCTCGAACCCAGGCCGCGAACCTCCGGCGCTGGACGTCGCGCTCCGACTCCCGCCGCGCTGACACTGAGCGGCGCCCCACCAGCGAACGGCCTGCCCGAGCCGCCCCGAGACGAGCCGCCGGGGGCGGGTGGGTAGCGCGCCCCCCCGCCGCGCGAGCCTCGCGGCCCACGCCGACCTCGCGGATCTGGCGGGGCTCGCGCTCGGGCCGCGGCCATCGCTGCCTGCGCCCGAGGAAGGCGTTCGCGGAACTGTGGCGCGTCGGCAAGCTCGCCCCGATCGCCGTCGCCACAGTCCCCGCGGAGGACCCCCTCCGCCAGGAGGTCGGGCGGCTGTCCGAGCGGGAATCGGCCCCCGCCCGACGCGCCCCGGCGCCCGCGCCAGCACGCCGCGCACTCGCAGCGCCCCCCCCCCCAGCCCCCAGGCGGAAGCGTGCGCGCGCAGACAAAGGCTGCCTCGCGAGGCGGCGTCAGCGGCGCCCCTCTCGGAGGGTGCCCAGCGCCACGCGGGAGACAGGTTCGCGCCCAACACCAGCGCGGCCGAGCGTCGAAGGACGCGACAGAGGCCGAACGAGCCCCCGCGCCCCTCGGTCCGAGACAGGATGACGGTCATGGCATCTCCGAAGATCAGGTGACGTCTCCCGTGGGCAGCTGAGGTCCTGGCCAGGTGATTCAGGGTCCAGGTTGCAGAACGAGACCCCAGATGCACTCGATGCTCTCCAGAGGTTCACCTGACCGCGGCCACTCTACACCAACGACCACCCCAGACACGCTCACGGGCAGGCGGAACCCGATCAAGCCCCTCATCCTCATCACCCCGAAATAGATCTCCCCGAAAATCGTGAACATGATCATGTTCATCTCGTTTTGCAGAACTCCATCGGTCGCCGTGGGTCCCCAACATCTTAACGTCGTGCTCGTCGATAACTTTGCCCATCACCATGCAACCCCAAGACGACGCGATGAACGCGCGGGCCTCGGGGGCCCAACTCGCATCGAGCTCCCGAGACGTCGCGAGCGCGATGGCGGCCATCCAGCGAAGCTCGAAGAACAGACGGCCATAACGAGGAACGACTTTGTTGATGCTGCTGGGCGAAGGCGAAGCAAGCTTGCGGGGCCGCGAGCACCTCCCTCCGAATCGGGCCCCGCGTCGTGAAGTGCCCGAGGAGCGCCGAGACCTCTTGCCCACTGGCCCCCCAGGCCGGCCACGCGCAGGAGCGCCAGGCGGGCCGCCAGGCGCTGCGCAAGGACATCGAGCAGCGGCCCTGCTCGGTGACATGCTGGCCCAGCGCGTCGCCGCCTTGGCTGATCTCCATTTCGTGCATCGGCGGCCCGGCGGCCACTCGGCGCCCGCGGGCGCGCGCCACCGCGTCCTCCGCCACGGAGCAGCCCCTGCCCAAGCGCGCGAAGTTGTCGACGTACTCCGCGCGGGCGATTGGCGCAGGCCCTGGCGGGGGCCTGCCATCCACGAAGGCGTTATTCAGGGGCGCGCGGGGTTCGCGGCGGGCGAGCTCCTCGTGCAGCGCCCGGCGCGCCTGCAAGGCTAGCGCCCGCCCCGTCGGCAGCGCCGCGATGACGGGGTGGGCGCGGTCTCCAGCTCGCGCGGGGCCGCCCCCCCACCTCGGTGACCCCCGGCTCCCAGGCCCGCATCTTGTCGAAACAATAGAGGCGCGAAGCTGAGGCGGCAGCGAGATGGCGTAGAGGGCCACCTCGACGTCGGCGCCCGCGACGGTCGGCGGCGGCCCCGCGTCCAGATGCAGGTTGGCAAGGCAGGCTCCGCTCGCGAGCTGCGCGGGGCCGGGGCCCTCGAAGCAGTTCGGGGCCCTCGCGTCCACCGCCGACCGCTGGGCGCCCGACTCCTTCCAAATACTGAAGCAACCGATCCGACGTCTTACGCCGCGCCGAAAGCCAAAATGGCTAGCGGCGCGGAGCCGCTTAAAGAGCTCTACGCACACGCTTCCGCCGCGCAGGGCGGGGCCGGCGCGCGCCCGACGCGGGCCCGGGAGCTTTAGTCTCGCCCCCCCACCCCCCCGCCCCACACGCACGCACGCACGCGCGCGCGCGCGCACGCACGCACGCGCGCGCGCACGCACACGCGCGCGCACCCCGCACCGGGAAGCACCTTGTCTAGAAACCTCTTCTCGTCGAACCCGCCCGCCGGACCAGTGGCCCGGCCCAGAAAAATAAACCGAAACCCTGGAGGTGGGCGCCCAGCAAGTCCACGCGAAGATGGGCGACCCGCGACACCGAACCGTCGTGGGCCAACTTGGGCCGAAGCTCGCCAGAAGCTCCTGGCCCGTCGAGGTCGCCAGGTGGCCGCCGCACATCCACTGCGCGCTGGCGCAGGTCATCCAGAGCAATGCTTCGCGCCAGCGTCGGCCTCGCGGGATGGCAGGGCGACCCGCCATCGCGCGCCCCGTGCGTGTCATTGCGGACGTCTACGAGCTCGTCGGTGACGGCGTCGACTGCCGCGACGCGCTGAACCCGCCGCTGCGCAAATCTGCGCGCAAGGCCCCCCGCCGCGCGGCCGCCGCGCAGGCCCTGAAGGTGAGCGAGAGAAAAAATCTCGCTGTCGTCGGCGGGGAAATCGAGCCCGGCGAGAGAATTCGGCCTTGTGGTTCCCGTCGGGCACGGGCCCCTGACCCGACGGGTGTCTCTCATGCTCCATTGCCCATGGCGCGGCGTTTGCCCCCCCCGCGCCTTTCGAACTTTCTCCAGCGCTTGCCAACGCACTCGCATCTCGTTCGACCTCGCAAGAGACGACGCCCAACAAGTCCGTGGAAACCGCGCGCCCCCCACTCTCGCGAAGGCGCCCCATGAACGCATCGCGCTCATCTAAGAGCCCAGTTCGCCCGCGCCCCCTGCCCCGTCACTCTCGTCGACAGCGGCATGGCCATTGGCGGGCTCGCGGGAGTACCAGTACTCGACCAGCTGGCACTCGCGAGCGTTGGTCGCCAGACAGGCACACTTCGCCACTTCGAGCGCGTCGTAGCCGGCGGTCATCTGCAGGGCTCGTAGCCCGTTCTCGCGCACCTCGTCTCCCCAATCGCCACGCTGGGGACGATCAACCTGCCGCCACCACGCATGGTGGTCTCCAGGCCCGCCTCCCCGACGATCGAGGAACCTCATCACCCACTCTACCTTCCTGGGCCCCTGCGCGGGCCAGTCGCTGAACGGCGTCGCGACCCCCTGCTCGAACACCTGGCACCATGGGCGGCGCTGGGCTCCCCCCCGCGGCCGCGGGAGCTGCCCGAGCGGCCCCAGCTCCACTTCCAGCGGCGGGCCCCCCCCCGAGCGCAGCGGGGCGAACTCCAGCCCCCAGCGCATCTCCACATCCCACCGCTGGAGCTGCTCCGTTTCCCTGCCCAGGGAAACGCGGCGCGGCCAGCGGCGGGTGCCCTGGATCGGCCAGCAACGGCAACAGAGCACCGCCGGCAGGTCTCGATGCACATGATCGTCCTTCGCCGCGATCTTCGCTAGCCTCTGGAACTCTTGCAGGTCGGCGGGCGTAGGCTCCCTCCTGAACCTGTAAGGGTCCCGAGGGGTCCCAGGACACGAAGGGCGTCGGCTCTCGCTCCAGCGGAAGGCAGCGATGTTGACGTCGGTGCCGCCGTACGTATCGCAGTAACGGTCGCTTTCCGGCGTGGGCACCAGCACCTCAATCGTTCCCGTTGGATTACCCGCCAAGACTCCGAACACCAAGCGTTGGTGGAAGTGGGCGGCCCCTGCGTACTGCCCCCACGCCCACTCCTGGACGGTCGGCTGCGCCATCGTTCAGAGCAGGAACCGAGGGCCTCACCACCGCCAGGAGCGTCCGCCACCACGCGCGGCCTGAATATAGCACCGCAAACAGCAGCACGTGCACGGTCACGCCCACGGCGCCTCCGAGCAGCTTGAGGCACAGGTTCAGCACCCACCCCAGCACCGGCCAGTTCCCGTCTCGCGCGGCCGAAAGGGCCACGGGGGCCTCCTCGGCGGGCGCGGGGGCCCGCACCTCGGCGGCGCCTCCGCAGGCCTCAGCCTCAGCAGCCCGCCGCTGCCGCGCGGGCTCTGGGCAGCCGAACGAGGGGCAGTGCTCCGCCACAGCCGCGGGCCACCCCAGGGACGGGCACGCAGGTGGTTCCGCGCAGCGGAGGTCGGGACAGCGAGGACAGGCCACAACCTGCGCACGCCACGCCCGATCCTCTCCAACGTGCGTGGCCCACGCTGCCAGCCAGGCTATCGCGACCGCAACTGAGAGATGTGCGGGCGCATGATGAACTTAAACCAGGATGGTGACGTACGGCCCTCTCCTGCGCAGACTGCTACAAACATGTGCATCTGAAGATCGGCTCGCGACGAGGAGGAGGAGGAGGAGGAGGAGGAGGAGGAGGAGGAGGAGGAGGAGGAGGAGGAGGAGGAGGAGGAGGAGGAGGAGGAGGAGGAGGAGGAGGAGGAGGAGGAGGAGGAGGAGGAGGAGGAAGCAGGAGGAGGAGGAGGAGGAAGAGGAGGAGGAGGAGGAGGAGGAGTAGGAGGAGGAGGAGGACGAGGAGGGGGAGGAGGAGGAGGAGGAGGACGAGGAGGACGGCGAGAAACCCCCTTGTCACGTCGCCCCTGGGCGCGCCGCCGAGAGCTGGCGGACACCACGGCCGGGCTGACCGCCGGCTCGGGCCGCTTGCGCAGCAGCCGCCGCGCCGCCGCCGCGACCTCGCGCGCCGCAGCGGCGGCGTCGAGGCCCCGCAGGCCCTGCAGGGCTTCCCTGCGAAGCTCCGCGGCCGTCCCCGGCGGCGGCAACACGTCCCTGACCTGGGGCGCACAAGGACAGTCAGTCGGAACTCAGGACCTGGGGCAAAACAGATCCTTCAAGAGCATGAGACCTTCCGTCGGCCAAAACTGAAGAGCATTCGAGGGTGCCCTCCCCCAGGTTGTACAATAATGTCCAAGAAGCACGAAAAAACAGTAGAGCACCCTCCCCAAACCGAGTTCGATCTGATACCTCGGTCCGACTGATGTTTCCTTCCGCCCAGGCAAGCAACCCATGAACCACGAACCACAAGTCTTCAAGTGTCGGCGTGCCCAAGGCAACCTTCGCCCAGGAGCGAAACTGCGCCGAGAAAACAAAAAAGGGCTGCAGGTTCCCTCGCCCGCACGCCTATGCGTCGATACGGTTATGGTTATAGGGCGCCATTGGGTCCACGTTAAAATGAAGAAAGGAAAAAAGGACACACGCACGCATACATACATACATACATACATACATACATACATACATACATACATACATACATACATACATGCATACATACTGAGGCACGAGGACATGTTAATACTCCGTGCACTCACCGGATACGTGCATCCGACCCACACACCTAGTACAACAACGTACTGTAGCATATCGTTTCCCGATCGGTATGGCCAGACATCGCCCGCCACAGGCGTTAATTCCCCAAGCAGCGTTTGCCATTTAGGGTTCAATGTATGTGTGTGTGTGTGTGTGCGTGCGTGCGTGCGTGCGTGTGTGTGTGTGTGTTTTCCAGGGAGCTGGGTCTGAGTGCCGGTCCGGCGGCTGTGTCATCGTTGTCGCCGCCCCGTCACCACTTTGTACAACTTATGTTGTAACGCATAGATTGCACAACGCACATGGCAACACGCCTATACTGCATCGAATGATCTGCTCCACGTATCATGCACCATCGATTGCACCACGTAGGTTGCACCATATAGATTGCACAATTTGTATTGCACCACGTGCGATGCACCACGCAAGTTGCACCACATGTATTGTTCCACGCAGCTCGCAAACATATAGAGCGCCACGTGCACTGCGCAGCCTAGGTTGCACCACGCGGGCCACACAACATGAATTGCGCAACGCGGGTCGCACGGCCTAGATTGCATCACGTATATTGCATCAGATACGTGCTCCACCCAAGAAAGACGACATAGATGGCACCACAAGTACTGCACCACGTAGATCGGGCAACAATGATTGCACCATCTACGTCGCGCAACATCCATTGCGCCACGTAAATGGCACGACATCGGATGTCAGCTTGTGATTAACAACTCCGCGGGGGGCGCGTGTTTAAAAAAATGGTTCCCCTGCTCGCGCAAATTGCGGGATGGCGCCCGCCAAGTTGAAAATCAACATGGCGGCGCCGGTGATTAGCGCCGACGCCAGGCCGCCAACGAGAAGGCGACAAACAGCACAGACTGGGCCCCGGGAGAGGGGGCGGACGGCAAAGGCGGCAGAAGCAGGGACCGTGAGCCAGGGCGACGCGTGTTTGAAATGAAAAAGATCTGCTGTCGGCGCTCGCCCCCGCAATTTTCGTGCTCTGTTTTGTCGAACCGATGCGCTTCCTCTGCCCTGGCCGCACCCAAGGGGGGCGTCAGCTGCGTCGCGGGCCCGCGAACAAGGCGGGCTAGACGAAAATGGGCGTGGACAAGAGGGGACTTGCCCAGCAACTCACATTGCTGATTTTCCGTGCGCCCCCTGGCGCCGAAAGCGGCCATGCATCGAGGATTGGCCCCTCGGCGGGGCGACCGAAACCACCTGCGCGCAGCACGTTTCGCAACCGCCCTTTTCCTTCCCCAGCCCTCCTCCCGGGCAGTCGTCCTCCTCCCTTTTCTTTCGTGGTCTCTGTAGTCGTCGACGACGACGACGGCGACGACAACGACGACGACGACGACGATGACGACGACGATGACGACGACGACGGGACGAGGACGAGGACGACGGACGGCGAACGGCAGACGGCGACGGCGGCGACGACGGCGACGCACTGCGAATGCCCTATGGGGGGGGGGGTTGCGCAGGCCCGCTGTAGTCGACGACGACGACGACGATGACGACGCGACGACGACGACCACGACGACGACAAAGAAGAAAACGACGACAACGACGACGACGACGACGACTACGACGACGACGACGACGGCGGCGGCGGCGGCGACGACGACGCCGAAACCTGACAGGGAGGAACAAACGTCGCCTCGGATGTGCACGTTCCCTATAACAACGGCTATACGACAGGCAGTCTTTGTGAGACTGTCATGCCAGGGTTACGCGATTACCCTCGGCGGCGCTAGCGACGACCCCCTGGCGCGCGTGATTAAAAAAAGGTTTCGCGCTCCGCGGGGTCCATTCATCAGCCCGGGGGGGGCTCTGGCCATTTATTGATCACAAGCTGACATTCTTGCTCCTCATATAATGCACACTGTAAATGAGCATGTTGTTAAAACGCACTGTTTGGGGTCCACGCTGGCTAACACTATGAGATCACTCGGCGCGCGCGTCGCCCCTCGGTAAGAGTATGTTTGGGTGGCGCCAGTCACCTGCTGGCCCAAGGCGTACCGGGTCAGCTGCCCAGCCGACTTGGCCAGCTCCGCCCGGTTGCCGTCGGCCGTGAGGAGCGGCAGCAGCGTGCGCTCCGCGGCGAGCCTCGTGTAGCGCCCCAAGAAGCCGTCGATCTGCGCCCCGAGAACGCGGTCCACCTCCCTCCGCAGGCCCTCCACGACCTGCTGCCGGAACGGGCCGAGGACGGGAAGCCGACTCACTGCGTTCCCGAGCAGGTCCACCGTCTGCAGGAACTCGAAGATGCCGTCCTTCAGCACGGCCCCCACGGCTCTCTCAACCGCTGGCGTGCGCAGGGCGGCTCGGAGGTCCTCCTGCCTGAAGCCCTCGCCGAGCCCCACGGCGATCGACTTCTCCAGGCTGCTGGCCGCGTCGGGGCCCAGCAGCTGCTCCAACGTACGGTCCTGAGGAGGAACGATACGGAGGGGCCGGCTCAGAGGGGGGATGCATCGAGGCTCGGCATCTGCGATAAGTCGCAGACAGATCGGCGCTGGGCTCTCGGTGGCGGAACTGCAGGCTCCTGGGAGGGGCGTGCCATCGGGCCCCTACCGGCGATGAAGGGGCGATCAGGGGCCGATGGATGTGTCCCTCCCTGAGCCCATCCCCCCCCTGACGCTGCACCTGGCTGTCGGCATAGCTCAGCTCTCTGGCGGCCGCTCGGGAGCATCGTTTAACCGATCCCTAAACCCACTGGCGTGTCCTCGATAGGGATGTAGTGGGATGGTGAAGTTGAATTCCGCCACCGTGCCATGTGCACGTTGAGGCGGAGAATAATGTCAAGTGCCGTTTGGATTCTGAATTCTAGTGAGGGCCCCCACCCCTGAGTCGCACTCTCTGCGTGCATCCCCCCCCTCCCCATTGTGAAACATAAATGGCGCTGCGCCCACGAGGCCATGACCCCTCGTGAAACACGATGGGTATTCGTCCCGAGCTTCCGAGGCGGCCCACGAAGGCAACCAAAGATACTTAGACACCAAAATGGCCCAAGATGCCTCGAAGACGACCCAGCATGGCCCTAAGGGGGCCCAACATGGTTTCAAGACGGCCGTAGGTGCCTCCGAGAGGGCCCAACAGGCCCACAACAGAATCCCTAACAGGGTTCGAGGAAGCCCAAATGATGTCCCTTGGTTTGCTGAATGGTTTTCGCATTCTCGCGTTTTCTGGCTTCGGTCAGCTCAAGACGGCTCAGGTAGCCTCCACGACGGCCCCAAGACGGCTCAAGAGGCCCCCAAGAGAGTCCCAAAATGACGGGCCTGGACACCCGTTTTCCTGGGCGGCCCTGGAACTACATAGGAGTTCAAGAGTGTGTCGCGTGCGTCGTCTGGGAGCCAAAAGGATCATAATGTGGGCCCAGAGGGACTGAGAAGGCCGCGAAGATGGCCAAAGAGAGCCTGGAGTCGCCTCCCCAGATCCTCAAGATGGCTTAAAGACGACCAAAGGGCACCCCAAGAAACTCCAAGGGGGTCCAAAGGCACCCCACAGAGGGCCCTAGGACCTAGGATGCAAAAACCATCGATGATCCTTAGACGTTTGTCTGATTTTACGCTCCAAAACGGCCCAATAAAGGCCCCAATAGCACGCCCAGGAGGCCCCCGGGAGGGCCGCAAAACGCACCAAGAACGCCGCAAGACGGCCCAAGAGGCTCCAGAGGTGACCCTAAAGGCACCCAAGAAGACCCTAAGAGGGGCCCCGAAGGGAGAACCCGAACGGATGCTCCGAGCCTTCCGCTCCAAGATGGCCACAAGAGCGCCCCCGAGGTTCCCGAGGCCACCCCAAGACGACCAAAGAGGCCGCCAAGAGGCCCCCAAGACGCCCCGATAAGCCCCCCAAGCCCTTCCAGGAGTCTCTCGAGGGCTACCCCAAGATACCCCCCTATGCATCCAAGGGGCCTCTGGACCACAGCGCAGGAAAGGTGGCGGGACGGGCCGCCCGTAGTCCGAACGGCGCCCCGCGGCTTCATAAACCAAGATCGTGTGAAAAACATCCCCTATCGATGATGGAAACGACAACATCTTCTGACGGATACACGCATTGACCAAGGTTACCGACAAAACACAGCACCAAGTTTTCACGGACACCTGCACGCCAGCACGAAAACATTGCTTTACAAAGCAGGGGGCAAATTAATCGCACCGATCCCCCGGGCTTTGTGATGTTCATCCAGCACAGGCCAGGCCTCCTCTGGGACGAGAACCATCTCGAACTTTATGTGTTTATCCGCCGAATGCACGCACAGAAGGCGTTCCTTCTCCACGGGTCGCGTAAACGGGCCATTGCACATCCAGCGGCACCAATTGAAAACGCAGTGCAACTTGGGCATTTCACAGCCGCTCTGCATCCCCAGCCGCCCCCGATCTGTCGCCGCGTCTCCGAATACTTTGTCTCCGAGGACATCTTCGCCGTCTAGAAGGGGCCATCCTACGATCTCGACGGCGAAGGGCCATGGCGTCTACGATGGCCAGCCTTTGTCCTCGTCAGCGCGCGGCGCCCCGACGTCCTCTGCTTCCGTGTGGAACAGATCCGAGTCGTCACAAACGTCGCTGAAGTCGTCGACGCCATTGTCCTCCTCGCCGCCGTGGAGGTCGCAATCGCCGCCCTCGCCCATGCGTGCAACCTCGGCTCGCGAGCCTGATGTCACCGGAGCACTAGCGACGACTGGCGCGTCTCCAGCTTCTCCCGCGTCTTCTGCCCCCTGGGGCAGCGAAGCGGCATCTCCGTCCGACTGTCGCGCACCTTCTGTCGCTGGCCTTCGTAACTGGCCGTCTTGCATGAAGCCAGACTCGTCGCCGTCGCCAGATCCCTCAACCTCCGAACTAGAGCCCTCGCGGGAGGCTCGTCCTCAGGACTCCAGAGGCGACGAGCGCTCCGTGGCCGTGAGCATCTCATCCTCGGCAGCTTCGTCGTCCTCTGCGCTCTCAGCGCGGCGCCGATCGTCGGCGCCCGCAGCGCCCGCGCCCTGGCCCGCGGAAGGCGCGTCGCTTTCGTGGCCTGCGCGCCCAGTCTCTCAGGCGCTCTCAGACCTGCGGCTGCGCGGGGCCCGTTCCAGCTCGCGCAGCCGTCGTTTCAGCCCGCAAAGCCTTCACAAAGCAAAAGATGCCCTGCTTCGTCTCGCCTGTCGCCTGGAATAACACCGTCTCATCGGTGCCGCCATAACTTCTAGTAATCTCGCCCGCCCGTTGCACCGCGCGATCCAGAGCGTCGCGCGCAATTCTGACCCCTTCCAGCAGCCCGTCTCGCGGCGTGCGCTCGTCTCTGCTGGGCAGGCTCACCAACCCCATCACCTCCGCCTCGCAATCGTCGGCCGCGGCTTGCCAACGACCGGAGATTTCGTCCTCTGCGGCCATGGCCGCCGTCTCTCTCCTCGCAGTTTCGGCCGAAAGCCTGCTCACCTCTACTCCCTCGCGGAGCTGCCGCGCTTCGCCCTCTGTCAACGAGCGCAAGACGCGCCCGCGTCTCATGCCCAGAGGAATGCACGCGTGGACGCGGCCCTCAAGCGCGCGAATCATCTCAGCAGCTCGCTCTCCGGAGCTGCCCAATACTTTGGCAACTTCTCGCTCCAGCGTGCAATCCGCCCATCCTTATTGTCCGCGCGATTCGCATGGCATCCCGACCATCGCCCTGCAGCCGCAGCACGCCGCCAAGCACTGAAATCCAAATGCCGGCAACCAGTATTCGTCCTCGCGCAATGCGCCTCGCAAAGCACGCGATGCCGCCTGAGAGGTGAAAGACTGCGGCAGCGCCAGGAAAAAACGACTCCGACCGCGCATTGCACGAAGCACGCAAAGTCAGCTGCGCCGAGAAGCGCTCTCGCTACCGCGGAGTTGCTCTCGCTGCGGAGGTGGTCCAGAGCATGTATGACGGTGCCCTTGGCGTCGGGATCTTCCACGTGAAAGAACCGCAACTGATGCGACTTGGCCTCCTGGAGCAGGGCAGCGTGCCTCGTCAGTCCAGGCCAGCTGGGCGCAGGGCGCAGCATCTGGAAGTCGCATTCGCCCCCCTCTTGAACTGCGCAGCGAACGTTGTCGGGCGACAAGCTCAGGATGCCCACGTCATCCCCAGAATTGATGTAGCCCGACATCTCTGCTAGCAGTCGCACGAACTCCCGCGCTTTCGCCTCGGCGAAAGAGAAATTTGGGCGAGGCGTTCGACATTGCACTCGGCAGACATCGCGGCCTCCGTGGCGCCCTTCCCCTGCCCGGCATAAGCCGGAACATCCCCCCGAACAGCTCGCGGAAAGTGCTCTCGGAAATGATGCCCCTCCCGATCGCCGTTGTCGACTATCGCGGCATCGTCATATGCCGCGCGAAACCAATTCTGCAACGTGGCGCCGATGAAAAGTGGAGCCCTGGCCTCCAAGACAAGCCGCCCATGTCTTCGGCAACGAAACGCGCATCCCCGCGCTATGGCGCTCTGCGCTAGACAGCGTCGCAGCGCCGCCAGTTTCACCCGGCGCCGCAGCCGCAGCGACGACCACGACGCCTTCGAGATAGTCGTCGACGCACTCATGGGCGCCCAATAGGGGCGACCCAATGGCGGACGAGCTGGGCGCGGCCCCGGCCTGTCTCGGAATCGATTTAGATGGTTCGCCACTCGAAAGAGCTCGAGCCCAAATGCACCTACGGACAGGGGCACGATGCAAGCACATTTACGAGCATTGCACGTCAACGAAATGCGCTCGCCAATGAGGCGTTGCAATTTAAACTGCCCAACGCGCGTTCCCCGAATGGCGCGTGAGCGACGTCGGGGGCGAACCAACGCCACTGGCATCGGCTGCAATGGAAGAGCCATGTGGTCCCGCTGAGTTCCATGAACATATTCGCCGGCCCGACGGGCCAGAGGCGCGCTAAGATTTCTCGTTCGCGCGCGGGGCGGCCCCTGGGGGGCCCCTGGCGAAAAGTGCACCCAGAAGGTCCCGGGGCACTCCCAGCAGACTCGGGCCAGAGATGGTTTTCCTCCTGGGCGCGGCCTTCCACGCTCCCTGGAGCGCGCCACGAGGGCCCCAACGAGAATCCAAGACGGTCCAAGAAGGTACCGAATCACCAAGCGATCGGCCCAGGACGCCCAAGCGGGCCTCAAGACGGCCCAAGAAGCTTCCACGACGCCCCAAGAGAGCCCCGACCCTTTCCAAGAGAGCCCCAGGGGGCCAAAATCACTGATATCCGTAAAGTTTTGTTCAAGGTGTTGGGTTTCTTCGCCTCTTCGCGTTTCCGACGCTCCAAGACGGCCCGAGAGGCCTCCAAGACCCCCCCCCAAGACGGCCCGAGAGGTTTCCAAGAGAGTCCCAAGACCGCCACGAGGGACCCACGACAGCCCAAGAGGCGCCCAAGACGGCCCAAGGGGACCCCAAGAGGGCCCCAAGTGGGGTCCAACATGGAGACCAAGAACTGAGAATCCGAGTCTTTCGGTCCAAGAGGCCTCCTGGAAGATCCGAGAGGCCCCCGAGAGGCCCCAAAAGGCGACGCGGGGCCCGAAACAGACCCCAAGACGCTCGACAACGACTCCCGAGAGTCTCCAAGAAGCCCTCGAGAGGCATCCAACGAGATCCCACTGAACGCCCGCGAAGCCTCAGAGCGCCAAATCTTTGGATTTCCATATGTTTGTTTCAGAAAGTTTTTGGCCCCCTCGCCTCTTCGCGTTTCCGACGGTCCAAGACGGCCCAAGAAGCCTCCAAGATCGCCCCAGGACGGCCCGAGAGGCCTCCAAGAGAGGTCCACGACCGTCTGAGAGGGCCCCGCGACAGCCCAGGAGGCGCCCAAGACGGTCCAAAAGGACCCAAGAGGGCCCCAAGAGAGGCCCAAGATGGAGACCACGAACCGAAAATCCGAGCCTTCCGCTCCAAGGCCCCCTGGACGCCCCAAGAGGCTCATGAGAAGCCCAACAAGCGACAGGGGGACCGAATAATGCAAAAAAGGAAACTGCCCCACTCTCTCCGACCGCGCCGCTGACAGACTGCAAACATCTAGCTGTTCATGCCCGACAGCTCCGCTGACGGGAAAAAAAACGCCTAGCTGTTGATGCCCGACAGCTCCGCTGACGGAAAGCAGCATCTAGCTGTTTATACCCGACAACTCCGATGACGGGAAAAAAAAACCACTTGGCTTGTTATACCAGACAGCTCCGCTGACGGAAAGCAAGCATCTACTTGGAATTGATTCAAGCATTTGCGGCCGTTTGCGCTGTGTCCGTCGTTTTTTGTAAGCTTTGGGTATAATCCACCCCATCTGTGGGTTGCTACTGTTGAGGACGACGAAGAAATTCTTCGTTGAGGAGGGGGGGGGAGGAGGAGGGGGGGGAGGAGAAGGGATGGGCCTAGCCACGAAGAAAGGGCCCCCGCTCGATCTTTCCTCCGATCAACGCCGAGAGGGCCTGGTCAGATAGGCCCCCGAACTCAGGAACGGCGCTCTCGCTCGAGATTGCCTCGCACTTCTGCCCGTGGCCGACGAGGGAGATATTCCCACAGAAGAAGAAGGGGGCGCGATCGAAGACGAAGTGGGCGGGCATCGAGGACCGGGGCATACAAAACGAAAGACACGCGGGCAGTTACGAGCGAAAAGCCTTCAAATGGAGGAGGAATCATTCGTCACTCAACCCCATCATTGTTTCCATTGTTCCTCTCCCTCCCTCGCACACTCTATCCATCTCACTACTCCTCTCATCCGCTTCCATCCCTTGCCCCGTCCCTTGCCATTCATTGGATTGTCATCGCGACCCCTCTCCACCATTCCCTTATTCCCCTCCCTCCCCCCCCGCCCTCCTCCCCCCCCCTCTCCCTCCCCCGAGCCCCTCCCCCTTCCTTTCCCCCCCCCGCGGCGGCGGGGCGGTGCAGGGAGAGGCCATCCACGTGGTGGCCGCCCTCCTCGTCGAGGCCCCGGGCCTCGTCGAGGCCGCGGCGCGGCCCGCCCAGGGGCCCGGGGGGGAGGGGGGAGGAGGGGGGGGCAAGGGGGAGAGGACGAGGGAGGGAGGGAGGACGATGGGAGGAGGAGGGAGGGATACAGGACGAGGGAGGGGGAGGAGGAGGATAGGGGGAAACGAATGGAGAGACACCCCGAGCGGCAAAGAGGAAGAGGAGGAGGAGGAGGAGGAGGAGGAGGAGGAGGAGGAGGAGGAGGAGAAGAGGGGGGAATTGTGGAGGTGATATTTCCGTTGCCTCCTTGCCTCATCCTAACCGCCCGCCTTCCAGCGTCATTCATCATTCCTCCTCCTCCCCCTCGTGATCCTCATCCCCCTCCCTCGTAACGCATCCCTCCCTCATCCGCTTCCGCCTTCTCCTCATCCGACTCCTCCCTCGTCCTCTCACCGTCTCCATCGTCCTGGGCGTAGGTGGTCTACAGAACTTTGTCTTCTCTCTTTCCACGGCCCCTCCTACCCCTGCTCGGGGAAAGGTTCACCCCTCCCCCTACCCCGGGCCCGGGAGGGAGGGGGGTTCGAGGCGTCAGAGGGCGCTCTTCGGCGCAAGATGGCTCCAAGCGGCCATCTGAAGGCCCAAAAAGGCCTCCAAGATGGCGCACGATAGCTCAAGATGGCTCAAGATAGTCACCGACATACCTCCAAGAGGCCCCATGACGGCCACGAGACTGTTTCAAGTACCCGCCGAGCCCTCCAACTTGGAGGGCTCCGCCAAGAAACCAAAATGGCCCCAAAACCTAAGGCCAATCAATGTTTCTGGCGTTCTCGCCGTTTCGCTCCCGATGGGCATCGGCGGCCTCAGGATCGCCACAAGATGGCCCAAGAGAGCCCCAAGAGGCGCCCAAGAGGGCCCCAAGAGGGCCCCAAGAGCGCCCAAGAGCGTCCCAAGAGCGCCCCAAGAGGGCCTCAAGACGGCCTTTTTTAGCCTCCGAGGGGGGGAGCTGAATTGAGGACCCCCCCTCTTTTGAGCCATGGGCCCCAAGACGGCCCAAAGACACCTCTCAGACCACCGCCACCCCAAAGAGCTCCAAGAGGGCCCCAAGATGGCCCCAGGATGACCCCAAGAGGACCCCAAGAGGACCCCAAGAGATCCCCAAGATGGCTCCAAGAGACCTCCGAGAACCCCTCACAACAACACCTCAATTCGCCTGGGCATCGTTGTTGGATGGGCTGGTGGGGGTGCGCGAAGCGTCAAACATTTACCTCGCCCTCTCGCGTTTCTCTCTCTCGCCCTCCTCGCCCTCTCCCTCGCACGCGGGCCGCGACGGGTGTTATTGCCCGAATCGCATCGCGTCCGCGGCGGGAACGCTCCGCGGCGCCGGGCGCGGCGCCGATGCGCGGCGCCGATGCGCGGCGCCGATGCGCGGCGCCGATGCGCGGCGCCGATGCGCGGCGCCGATGCTGGACCCGCGGTCCATTTTTAAAGTTAGTCTCATCATCCGCCCGATCCTCCTCGACAAGTTCCGCCTCCTCCGCGTTGCCCATCTCCCTCACTCATGCCCCTCTTCCTCCTCCTCCTTATTGCCCTTATCCCTGTCCTCATTATGTAGTTGCTGCTGGATCGATGGCCAAACTGGATCGATCTCGGAGTCCACGTCCACCCCGTCGTCCTCTTCCTCCTCCGCATCGTCGCCCTCGTCCTGGTCTGACTCCCCATCCACATTTTCTTCCCCCCCTTATCCTCCTCGCCCTCATGCTGCTCCTCATCCTCATCATGATTCTGCTTATGTTTATGCTCCTGCTCCTGCTCCTGCTCCTGCTCCTCCTCCTCCTGCTCATCCCCCCCCTCCTCGCCCTCCTCCTCTTCCTTCTCCTTCTCCCTCCTCACCCGCACCATGTGCCGCATGGCCCCCCTTCTCATCCTCGGCCTATGGGGCCGAACGGGCTTCACTTCTTAGTAGTGTCTTAGTGGGGCCCGTCGGCCCCAAAAAAATCTTAGATCTGAGCCGATTGGCTCAGCTTAGCTGACACCGGCGCGAGCTGCCGACAGCATCGCGGCCAGACTCCCCGTGAGGCCGCCCGCTGAGCCGCCGCTGCTGCCGCTGCTGCCGCCGGTGGTGCCGCTGCCGGCGGCGCCGCCCGTCGCGCCGCCGGTCGTCGCGCCCGCCGCAGGAGCAGCCCCGCCGCTGCTGCCGGGCCCCGCCGCCGCGCTGGCGCCTGCGCCGGCGCCCGTGGCCTGGCAGGCCGAGCCAGGGGGGGCTCTCACGAAGGGGGGCGGGGGGGATGAGGATGAGGAGAAGGAGAAGGAGGGAGGAGGAGGAGGAGGAGGAGGAGGAGAAGGAGAAGGAGGAGGAGGAGGAGGAGGGAGGAGGAGGAGGAGGAGGAGGAGGGGAAGGAGGCCGGGGGAGAGGAAGGAGGAGGAGCAGCAGCAGGAGGAGGAGCAGCAGTAGGGAGTATGCTTTACCTCTATCCCCATCTTCCTCATCTTCCTCATCCTTCATCTTCCTCATCATCCTGCCCTCATCTTCCTCATCTACCTCATCAGTGATCCTCTACCTCATCTTCGTTCTCATCCTTCATCTTCCCCATCCTGCCCTTATCTTCCTCATATTCTTCATCGGTGATCCTCTACCTCATCTTCCTTCATCTTCCTCATCCTTCATCTTCCCCATCCTGCCCTCATCTTCCTCATCTTCCTCATCAGTGATCCTCTACCTCATCTTCCATCATCTTCCTCATCCTGCCCTCATCTTCCTCATCTTCCTCATCAGTGATCCGCTACCTCATCTTCCTTATCCTGCTTTGCCTTCCGCCTGTTGTTCACCTCCGCGGCGTACGCCGGCGCGTAAACCTTGCTCTGAGGGTCGGCCATCTTCTCGTACATGTGCTTGAGGAGCTGCTGCATGATGTGCTTCTTCTGGAACTCCGTCTGGCAGATGCCGAGGTAGCCAATGTTGTTCGTGACGCAATCGCAGCACTGCTCACCGACACCTGGGGTCATGTCGATCGTGCTGATGCACCAGAAAGCGTGGCGCAGGGAGTCCGTCACCACGCTCGGCAGGCTGTGGTAGGTGATCGGCTGGATCCTGCTGTCCCTGGCGTTCCGAAGTTCTGGGCTGGGGTTCTCCTCCTCAGGCGGCTCATCGGCTTCTTGTTCTCCGTCGTCGTCGACTTCTTGCTCCTCGTCGTCGCTCTGTTCGTCCGAGTCGCCGCCCATGCCCTCCGTCCTGCCGCCCACGGCGCGCCTCCTTGCGCCCCAGAACTGCTTTTTTTCACCAATCGTGAGCTTCGGGAGACCGGACCACGGCAACAAGCTACAAGGGCCGACGAAGTTCGACACGTTGGTGGCATCCGGGAAGTGCTTATGCTCACGAGGCTGGATCGTCGTGAAACTGCTGTAGAACATGAACACGCGCTGGGAGCACCGAAGGACGCATTGCCTCGTCTTCTGGCGATGCTTGCGCGCCTTCACGCTCTTCTCGTCGAAAGTCAAGATGATTTCTCGCATGATGGTCTTCCCGTCCTTGGCTGTACGTGTTCTGTCTGCAGTTTTGCGGTCTTTCCCCATGCCCCAGTTGTTCAGGAACGTGTTGTCGTTAGTCCTGCCCCCATCAAAGAGCATCAGGACGTCGCCTTTGGGCAGGATGCCTACCTGGTCCGGAGCGGTCCGCGCAGTCAAGACAGATTTCCACATCTTCTGGATGATCGGCTTCTGCAACGGAGGCTTGCGGATGTGGGGGTGCGTCTGGCTCTCGCCGAACAGATTCGCGTCGAACGTGATGATGACGTTGCCCGCGCCCCCGCCCTTCACGGCGCCGAGGCCGATGCCCTTGATGGCATTCGTCAGCTCCGTCTGGTTCTTGCCATTCTCCACGATCAACTCGCAGAACTTCTTGACGTGGCGCTCCGCGCAATCGGCCCAGTCGGCCTCGAGCTCCATGATATCTGGAGGCGGCGCTGCCGACGAAGCGGGGCCACCAGCAGCAGCGGGGCCAGGCGGTGGCGCGCCGCCCCCTGGTGCGCCAGCAGGTGGGGCTGCCGGGGACGCCTTCGGCACCGAGTTCTGCTCGGACAGCGCGGCGTCGAATTCCTGGGCGGGGGGTCACATATACTTGCCTAACAAAAAATGACAAACAATGAGGGAGAGTCGGAGGGACAAGAGAAGGGGGGATCAGAGGGAGCAGGAAGATGAGGAGGAGGAAGTCTTGCATGGAGGAGGAGGAGCAGGAGACGGGCGGCGCCTCAGAAAGGAGGGGGGAGGGAGGAGGAGGAGGAGGAATGGAAGGGGGAGGGCGGAGGGGGGAGCCAGAGAAAGAGGAGGAGGAGGGGGGGGAGGAGGAGGAGGAGAGGGCAATGCCACCGAAGGAAAACAAACTTAGACTTTTGTTGGGGCTATGGGGCTATAGGGCTCTAGGACTATAGGCCTCCGGGGCTCTGGGCTATAGGGCTATAGGAGAAAGACGAGGAAGAGGAGGAGGGGCTGTAAGGGGGGGCGTCAGAATCAGGAGGAGCAGGAGGAAGGAGGAGGGGAAAGATGAAGAGCAGGAGGAGGATCGATATCCTCCATGTTTGCCTTCCAAGGCTGGTATTCAGACAAAATCTCAACCGCGGTTTTGCCGGACTCGATGCCGTTCATAATCGAACTCGTGTCGTGCGGGTCGAAAGCGAAGCAGGTCATCTCAATCATATCCAGGGTCCGCCGCGCAGAGAGAGGCCACGTGCTTAAGAAGGTCGAGTCTGCGTCTTTGTATGTTTCCCTATGCACGATGGGGTTCTCAGATAATTCACGGACCTTGGCCTTGTGGTCGGCGTGGATGTTCGGGGGCACGTAAAGGAAGGGGTTGCCCGAGGTGGGGCCAGAGGAACGTCACCCTGGACGCCCCACCGATTAAGGCACGCGTCAGCCTCAAGCTGGATTCGCTTCCCACCTTGGGCTACCCTTCCCCATTACGCACCCCCGAAATGTTCCTCGTGTCAAGAAACTGGGGAGTGAAATAGTCCCGCATGGCAAGTTTCATCGAGATGACGTCGATCAAGCCCGCCCTCCCACTCTGGCCCCTCAGCTTGTTCATGCTCAAATCACCTACGTGGGAGGAGGCGCGAGGCCAGCTGGCGCAGGAGGAGACAGGAGGGGGAGGCAGTAGAGGAGGCAGCAGGCAGGGGACGGGGGGGGGGAGGCCGGAGGAGGGGGGGTGGGGACAATGCAGGAGGAGGGAGAAAGAGAGAGAGAGAGAGAGAGAGAGAGAGAGAGAAAGAGATAGAGATACAGAGAGAGAGAGAGAGAGAGAGAGACAGAGACAGAGAGAATAGGATTGGCATAATCAGCGAGCCGACCCACAGACCTGTCTCCAGTCCTCCACTAGCCAAGCCCTCCACCACGAGCTGGAAGAACCACGTATTAGTTTGCTGGTTCTTGCACTTGTAGGCAATCACCACGAGCTTGGACATCGAATTGAAGGGGCTCTCGGAAAGGTACCTGTCACCATGATGCACGATTTGAAGCCCAATCTCTCCTAACCCCCTAGGGAGGACAGCAATGAAATGTGGTTTGGGGGTGGCCGTGAGAGGCGCGCTGCCGTCATCTCCCGGGTGCGATTTGGACATGCCGAAGGGGGAGCGGGAGTAGCAGCCAGCGTCTGGCAAATATGTTTACATGTATGTGTTGTGGTTACCGACCTCCTGTGTTGCTGCGTTGCGTTTGCAGTGTGGTTAAATTCGGTGGGGTCATATGTCTTGCTTTTGCATGTAGATATAGCCAATCATTGTACGTTGGTTCTGTTCCTGGGTACTTTCTGCCCATCGTGGCAATGATGTCACGGATCTCCGCACTGCTGAAAAGAACCTCGTACACCTTGAGGGCATATTTGATTGTACTTTCTGAAGCCCGGGACTCTGAATCCTTCTCAGCATCAGGCATACGCTTCGCGTAGATGTCAGCAATTTCCTGTCACGGGCCGGCGATATCACCCCCTCCCTGCTTCCACAGACGGCCGGAATCGATGGCGACCAGACGCCGAGCGATGACAATTACATGCAGACAGCACAGACAGACTTACATGCACATCTATGTACAAGTAGTTGCACACGCGTGCGCAGGTAGATGCATCCATGTGACCATGCCCGTCCTTGTGTACATACATACACACGCTATTAATAGCATTTTGTGCGCGTATACCTGACCATGCACACGCGCATGTATATGTGCATGACCATGTACGTGAATGTTGCAGGTATGTGTATGTTTAAATGTGATTATGTGTACGTATGTACATGTATACATACCTATATGTATGTTTGGAGGGCACGAAGTGGGCGTGCTCCCAGGCCATGTGCGTAGCCGCTAGGGCTCAACCTTCACTCCGCGTCTACCCACATTTCTCGGAGCCCAGAGTATCCAAGACAGCCCAAGAGGTAGCAGGCAAGACGGCCCAAGATGGCCCAGAGACTCCGACGATGGCCCCAAGATCGCCCAAGAGGCTTCGAACAAGCCCCGAAAAGCATCCAAGAGGCGCCCCCACGATGCGAGGTCGCAGGGAACGGCGAACAGGAATCCAGTTCGTCGTTTCGGGCCCTTAAACACGTAACACAGGGCGGCGAACTGGATTCCAGTTCGTTGCCCCGACGCTCCAAGACGGCCCAAGACGCCCACAAGACCGCCCTCAAACTGCCCGGGAGGCTCCAAGGACGTGCCGAGGCGGCCCAAGACGGCGCCAAAAGAGCCCCAACAATTTTCTAGGCTGCTCCAAGAGTGCCCCAAATTTGAACCCGATCCATCCACCGCAAGAGCGCTCTGTGGGCAAAGAGAAGGAGGAGGGGGAGAAGGCAAAGGAAGGAACTTGAACTTGAACTAGCTCGAGGAAGCCAAACAATCATCAATGACACCGCAGTCGACAAAAGAGGAGGGGGGAAGAAGAGGAGAAGGGGAAGGGGGGGGGAAGGAGAAGGAGGAGGGGGAGGGGGGAAGGGCGGGAGGAGGAGGAGGAGGAGAGAGAGCAGGATGAGGACGGGGTCCTTGTGGCTGAGGGCCTTGCTAAGGATCGCCTCTTCCCGGGTCTTGAACAACCAAATGTCGGCAACGATCTGCGACGCCAAGTGCGCGATCGCCGCTGCCGCGCCCCTGAACCTGCGGCGGGCGTTCGTCACCCAGAAGCACTGATCGCCCCAAGTCTCTGCCCGCGCGACTCGCCCTGTCGCGCTGAGCAAACAAGCCTTCCACCGTTTCATCTCTTCCTCGTCGGCTCCAGCCTCGATGCGCTCCGCGACCTTGAGGACCAACGCCTGCTGCGGCTCCTCCGGGCCCAGGCGGGTCACCTTGCCCCCGACAACGCCGCCGGGGCCCGCCAAGAAGTCGATTGGCTCCGCCAAGGGGCGCACCAGCCCGGGGGGCCAAAAGTTCTGCGTGAAATTCTCGACGGCATGGGCGTCGATGGCAACGGTCGGCGTCAGGGACTCACTCGGCTTGGCCCAGAGCACGTTGACGCCGCCCGTGACTAACACCTGACAGGGGAAAGGCGCGCAAGCAGGCGGGGGCGAGGAGAGATTAGAGGACGTCATGCTGGACGTCTCAGCGGCGCCAGCCGCCAAGAACTACCCATTGACCGAGATAGGGGAAAAAACTACTCGCTGCCTGTTTTAGGAGAAGCGCAAGTGGGCGGGTTCCCCAACCAACCTGGCCTGCCCAAACTTCCTCGTTGAGCCTCTCCTCAACGAGGTCATAGTTGATCGGCTCCTGGCACCCAACGTCGCCAGCCAGCGGCATCGCCTTCTCGATGTTCTGGCCGAAGTAGCCCTTGATCTTGTCCATGGCCAGCTCGATCCGCCGATGGAACTCTGCATTTGGATGTGCGAAGCCCGGCAAAGAGGTTGTCGAAAAGAGACCGACAATGCGGGGGCCCTGGCTGTTAGCCTTGGTCTTCGCCGGCGCCTTCCCCTTAGCCTTGGCCTTCGATTGCGGCGGCTCGTCAAGCTCCATGTCTGGCTCACCTAACGCATCCTGGGCGCCACCGACCCTGGCCTTCTTCTTAGCAAGGGGCATTGCGGATGACCTACCAGAACACCAGAATCAATATGTTCGGCAGTCGGAATGGCACGCGCCCTGCGAAGCCAAATGGCCACGGCCGCACGCAGCTCCAAAAACTGGCCAAGATGGTTGTCCAGGAGGGGTCCAAGGACAAAGGACAATCCGAGCTCCAGGGCGTGCCCCGTCGCGATCTTGCCCCCCCGGGCCGCCTTCGGGCCCCGTGACATTAGAGAAGGACCAGCGGCGAAACACATGGCCCCAAGGATGTGATCGACGAGAGCCCATGGACCCAGGCATCGGAGAGCCACGGCGTCGGTCGGACGCACCGCGGCGCGGATTATTTCTGCTGTCGCTGTTGGCGCTGCTACGACGGTGGAAGCCTGGGATAGGGAAATCTCGGGTAAGGAATCCAAGGTCTTGCGACCGATGGAAGGCCAGTCGTGGGCCAGACCTGGGTTGAATAATTACACCCCAGCTCAGTGCGGCAACTTCGCCGCCGCGACCCGCCCCGCGACGGGCCTTGCTGCGGCTCGCCGACGACCTGCCAGCGACCCGCTCCGCGAGGGGGAGGAGGAGGAGGAGGAGGAGGAGGAGGAGGAGGAGGAGGCGGAGAGGGCAGGGGACGGAGGCGGAGGAGGCGGAGCTCTCATCCCCTCCACCATCGTCTCCACCTCCTCTACTTCTTCCTCTTGACTTCATTCCCCTCATCCGGCACCCCCCCATCCCCCCCCCCAGCAGCCGGGCGCGCGGGCACGCGCGGCGCGGCGGCGCCGCCTGCGCCAGCCGCCAGCCGCGCGGCGGAGCCGCTGGCGCCTGCTGGTCGCGGAGGCGCCGGGGGGGGGGGCAGCGGGGACGGGGTAAGGGGGGGGAGATGAGAGGGATGGGGGGGGGATGGGGAGGGACGAGAAGGGGGAAGATGATGAGGAGCAGGAGCCGCAGGAGAAGCAGGAAGAGGAGCGAGCAGGAGAAGCAGCAGGAGAAGCAGGAAGAGGAGGTGGAGCAGGAGGAGCAGCAGAACGATCACCGGCCAGGCCGCGCCCGACGAAATCCCAAAAGCCCCCCAGGGGGCGTTGGGTGTGAGGAGCGCTCCCACCCCTGATCGGGGGAGGGGCGCGCCCCTCCCGCGGGTCGAGGGGCGCGCCGCGACCAGGTAGAGCGCCCAAGATGACCCAAAACAACATTCAGAGGGCCTCAGCGACCCCAAAGCATCCAAGATGGCTCGAGATAGCTCAAGATGGCTCAAGATAGCCTCCGACATACCTCCAACAGGCCCCAAGACGTCCCCAAGACGGCTCCAAGGGCCGCCCATGGGCCCCGAGAAGCACCCAAGAGACCCCAAGGAGGGCCCGAGAGGCCCCCAAGAGGGCGCCAAGAGGAGGCCAAGGAGGGGCTCCTTGGGTCGGCTCTTGACGTCGTCGTCGTCGTCGCCCCCCTTCCCCTCCCCCTCCCCCTCCCCATCCTCCTCCTTTTCCTTCTCCTCCTCCTCCTCCTCCTCCTCCCCATCATCATCCTCCCCCTCCTCCTCCTCGCCCTCCTCCCCTTACTCCTCGTTTGAGCCATGATGGGGCCCCAGACGGCCCCAAGAGACTCCTCGACGGCCCCAAGATACGCAAAGCGTCAATAAGCCCACGGACCAGGCGACGATGGCAACGAGGATCGACGATCGATGGGCGATGGCGAAACAGCGATGATGGCGATGACGATGACGAAGATGGCGGCGACGACGATGACGATGACGACGATGATGATAATGACGATCGAAAGACGACGTCCATTTTGCCGACGGCCCGTCATGTGGGGCTTAAACAAGCGACATACCGCACGATGCGAACGACCTACCTGCCACGATGTCGTGGCATTCCCGGGCTACTGTGAGCCATAACTGGAATTCTGAATTATGAATTACATTGCGTGGCCCGAAGAGCGCGCGAGGTGCGAGGAGTGCATTGAGTGTCTGAGGAGCGAGAGCGCTCAGAGAAAGCAGAGGGGGGGAAGCAGAGACCCACGGGCCACGGGTCTTGTTGCCCGATTCCCTTGTTTTGCCAGCGTAGGTGGCGGGCAGAACAGCAGTGGGTCGCGCCCAGCGTAGATCATCTGCCCTGCCATCATGGCAGGACAGTCTGGCATTCGCCGCCAAGCTTGGCAAGGGGGGGCGTTGCGCACCGCGCAGGAGCCCGCGATCGCGGAGCTGCCGACAGCACGGCCCGCTGAAAAAATAGCCCCCCTGGCAGCAGCTCGGGCGCAGCGATTAATTGCTGGCTTGCACTAATAAGGCAAGCATCAACAACGGCGCCCCGTTCTCACTGAGTCGTCGCCCCTCCGGAGGTCGCGCATCATGTCCGCAAACATGGTGTCCTTGATCTTCGAGCTGGGCACCCAGTAGTCATCTGGCAACCTCTCCGACGGGTCATCGCCTCCAAAGTACTCCTTTACGGCCTCGGCAAACGTCATCTCAGGTACATCGTCGCCGTGCACGAGGTCGTGCCAGTAGGCAGCCAATCGGTCGTCGCCCTTGATGGGCCAATTTGCCACCACCTGGTAGGAGAGAAAAAAGGAGGAGGAGGAGGAGGAGGAGGAGAAGGAGGAGGGGGGCCCAGGGCAGGACATCCACTCCCCATCCGTCTCCCCCATCCTACCTATGGTAGTGGTGGTGGAAATCGGCCCATGAGTCCTCATCTCCGTAGTAGCTGCACTCGTCCCAGGTCCCCAGCTTGATGAGCGGGTAGCAGTCAGGCACCCAGCACTTCTTACGCCAGAAGGTCTGCAGGTCGAACCGCATGGGCTTGGGGATGGAGCCAGCGCCGCGTCCGCCGTTGGAGAAGCCCTTGTCCTTGTCCTCGTCCAAGTCCTTGTCCTTATTCAAGTCCAGCATGGCGAGATCAAAATGCAACGACTCCAGCCTGGCCACGTCGTCCGAGCCGCCCAGCGTCACCACGTCCGAGCAGGCATTCTCGTCCTTGGGATGACCCTCCTTCTGGGCAGTCAAAAACCTCGAGAGGGAGATCTTCGTGGCGTCGTGCGACGCGCCCTTGATGGGCTGTTTTTCCACCACCACTACCATAGGTAGCTCCTCCTCCTCCGAGGGCCGAGGGAGAGGAGGAGGATGAAGACGAGGAGGAGGAGGAGGAGGAGCCAGGAAGAGGAAGAGGAGGCAGAGGAGGAAGAAGAAGGAGGAGGAGGAGGAGAAAGAGGAGCTACCCACGGTGGCGGTGGTGGTGGAAAATCGGCCCACGAGTCCGAAGAGGAAGACCGCGATGGCGATCGCGAGCGACATCGCGAGCCCATCATCGAGCTCGCAGCCCACGGCGATGGCCGCGGTGGCGGGGGCTCGAAAGCTAAAGCTTGAGCCTAAATTGCTGCGGGAAGGGCCGCCGTCGTCGCCACGGCTTGATTCGTCGGCCTGGAGAGCCTTCTTCGTCGCCACGGCTTGATTCGCGTCGATATTCTGGTCGGAAGGTCAGCGAGCACCCCAGGACATCCAGGCGCCCCAGAAGGGTCAGAACGCGCCCCAGAAGGGTCAGAACGCACTGGTCGTCGTCGGCATCGTCGTCGGCGTCGTCCGTAGTTGTCCGGCGTCGTCGTCGGCGTCGTCCGTAGTCGTCGTCGTCGTCGCCCGAGAGACTGGACCGCTGGTCGTCGTCGTGGTCGTTGTCGTCGTCGGCGTCGTTGCGCCGGAGAGGCGCCGCCTCGCTGCTGGAGTTCGGCGCGGACCTGATGCCTGCGCCTGCAGGCCTCCCTGCTGCTGCCGCCCCGGGGGGCCCTCCACGCTCATCCGTCTCATCATCCTCCCTCCTCCATCCTCCCTCCAACCTCATCCCTCCCCCAGCCCCCCTCCCCCACTCCTCCACCACAATTGCTCAATATGACGCGGGGCACTGTCTCGTCAAAACGAGGGCCCAACACAGGATTGTTAAGAAGAAATCCCCAGAACGCGCGTGGGAAGGAAGGAGGAGGAGCAGACAGCCGTGTATTCGGCGAGGCATCGGAACCCATCTGGCGCCACTGGCGCGCCACCCAACGCTGCCCCCTGCAGCGGCTTAACGTTAGCTCTAGCACTTCTAGACCGAGGCGAGGTAACTGTGGAAGCTCTCGCTGAGAAGTGAGGCCGATGAGGGAGGCTCTCGCTGAGGAGTGAGGCTGATGAGGGGGACTGAGGATGAGGTCCCACAGCGCAAGCTACAATCTGTTGCCGTACTCAATCGATCTCTGGCACACCCACGTGAGGCTCATCTTGCTTACCCATGAGCCCGACTCGTCGAGCCTCCGCACTTTTTTCGTCGAGGGCCACTTCGGTCCTCAGCATATTGACCCTCTTCCTTAAAGATTTCGATGTCAAGCGCTCAAGAACCGAGAACTTGACGAGGCGGTTCCGCCTCGACCGGCCCTTGCCCGTGAGACCAACAGGGCACGTAGTGTTGACGCCCACCCACATGGCAGAGAACCGAGCAATGAGCAACCCTCCGACAACAAACCGACGGCCTGGACAACAAGGCTTCCAGATATTCATTCCTGAAACTCGTGCAGACACAAGAAGTAAATCGCATGGCCCCCACGGGGCCAGGGGCATAATCCACGAGTCGTCGCGCGTTTAATGGCTGTGGGCCTATGGCGCGCAGTTCGGACACGCGTCGCAGTATTGCTCGGTATCCCATATGGGCAGACCTAAGGCACACTATGGCCCAACATTCAAAATGGCCCAAGATGGAGCCAGGTTCAGCATTGCTAATCATGGCGTAAACCCTTCTCCCTGTGTCATCATATTCCTCCGTCTTGTCTCCTCCTTCCTACTACTGCCCCTCCTTCACCTCATCATCCCTTCTCCTCCTCCTTCTCCTCGCTCCTCGTCCTGCCTCCTCCTCATCATTATCCTTGTCCTGCCTCGTCCTCCTCCGTCATCCTCTTCCTCCCCATCGCCATCCCCCCCCTCCCTCCTCCCTCGTCCCTCATGACCCCTCCCTTCTTCATCCTCCTCCTCCCTCCCCCCTCCTCCATCCGTCGATGCCTGCGGCGCCCTGCCGCGGCCCGTGCGCGAGCGCAGGAGGAGGGGGGCGGGGAGAGGAGGGAGGAGGAGGTTGGGGAGGAAGAGCGGAAGCAGAAGCAGGAGAAGACGCGCGCCTCGGAGGGATGGAAGATGTAGCACAAGCAGATTGACACAAACGTTTGCGCCAAAGTCCAAGACGGACAAAACGAGTGTCACTACGGGGGGGGGCGCGCACCCCCCCCCCCAGTGACACCTCAAGTCGACTTGGCGCGTCACTGCCCCCCCCTTGGTGTCAGACCGGGGCAGGCGCAAATGCCTAAAGCAATACGAAAGACACGCCGGGCTATCACCCAGGGGGGGGCAGTGACACGCCAAGTCGACTTGAGGTGTCACTGGGGGGGGGGGCGGCGCCCCCCCCCCCTAGTGACGCAGCCGTGCCCCCGCGCAGAGGCCACGCCGATTGACATAGAAAAGTGCGTGCGGCCAGTGCAGCGCACTGAGCCTGGCTCGCAATGGGCGCGTATACCACAGCGCCTGGAGCCGAATGCGCGCATCAACGGCAACCCCAGCACGGCCCAATGCCCAAACTGTATCGAAGCGAAGTTCCCGCGCTACATTCAAGATGTATAACGCCACGCCCCCCCTTGCGACACTCAAGTTAACTTGACGCGTCACTAGGGCGCAAAGACAAGACAGCAATGATCTGGCAACGACAAGCCCCCCCCCCCCCCCCCCTTACGACACTCAAGTCAACTTGACGCGTCACTAGGGCGCAAAGACAAGACAGCGGTGCCATGGCATCGCCCCCCTTAGGACACTCAAGTCAACTTGACGCGTCACTGGGGCGCAAAGACAAGACAGCGGTGCCCTGGCATCGCCCAGCCCCCCCCCCCCCCTTACGACACTCAAGTCAACTTGGCGCGTCACTGGGGCGCAAAGACAAGACAGCGGCGCCCTGGCATCGGACAGCCCCCCCCCCCCCTGGTTACGACACTCAGGTCAACTTGACGCGTCACTAGGGCGCAAAGACAAGACAGCGGTGCCCTGGCATCGCCCAGCCCCCCCTGGTTACGACACCCAAGTCAACTTGACGCGTCACTAGGGCGCAAAGACAAGACAGCGGCGCCCTGGCATCGCCCAGCACCACCTGGTCACGACAAGCAAGTCAACTTGACGTGTCACTGGGGCGCAAAGACAAGACAGCGCTCGCCGGGCACCCCCCGCCCCCCCCAACAAGTTGCGACGTATGGTATGGTATGGTATTGCATGGCATGGTATGGTATGGTAAGTATGGCATGTTATTGCATTGTATTGTACGGTATTGTATGGTAAGTATGGTGCGCTTTGGGGTGGTATGGTGCGTGTGGCATGGTATGACATGCTATGACGTGCAATGGTACGTATGGTACTTGTGGTATTGGTACGGTATGGTATTTACTGGTATGGTATGGTATGGTCTGGTAGTCTACACATGGCATTTATGGTGTGGTTTGGTATGGTATGGTATGGAAAGTATGGTATGATATGGTGTGGCATGGTACATATGGTATGGCATGGGATGGCATGGTATTGGTATGGTATGGTATGGTATAGTACGTACGGTATGGCATGTGGTATGGTAGGAGGGAGGAACGGGAGGCGGGTGGGAAGGAGAGGGCGTTCTGGGAAAACAAGAGCCCCACTCAGCGCGTGGGCACAAGACGTCCCGAGAGGCACCAAGGGTGTTCTGGGGAAAACGAGAAGCCCACTCAGGAAGGACGGCTGAGGAGGCGCCCAAGACGCCCCAACAGGCCCCCCAAGAGCGGGCCCCAAGAAACCAACATCATCCCAGCAGCCCTCTGGGCGTAAGGGTTTAACGAACTCCCTACCCCCTACCCTGGGCCGGGAGGGGGGGGGGGGAGGTGTCAGAGGGCGCTCCGCGAGCCCAAGATGGCCACCAAGATGGCGCACGATAGCCCAAGATAGCTCAAGATAGCCACCGACATACCTCCAAGAGGCCCCAAGACGGCCCCAAGACTGTTTCAAGTGCCCGCCGAGCCCTCCAAGGACCCCACCAAGAAGCCAAAATGCTTCCAAAACCTAAGGAACATCAGTGTTTTTGGCGTTCCCGCCTTTTCGCTTCCGATGGGCATTTGGATCCTCAAGATGGCCCCAAGATAGCCCAAGAGAGCCCCAAGGGGGGCCCAAGAGGGCACCAAGAGGGCCTCAAGAGCGCCCAAGAGCGTCCCAAGAGCGCCCCTGAAGACCCCCCCTCTTTTGAACCATGGGGCCCAAGACGACCCCAAGAAACCTCTCAGACCCCCCCCCAAGGAGCCCCAAGAGGGCCCCAAGATGCCCCCAAAAGAACCCCAAGAGGGCCGCAAGAGGACCCCAAGAGAACCCAAAGATGGCTCCAAGGTACCTCCGAAAACTTCTCACCACAACACCTCAACTTGCCTGGACATCGCTGTTGGATGGGCTGGTGGGGATACGCGAAGCGTCAATAATTCCTTTCCTGTGACGTTTGAAAAGGGGTTCCCGTCTCGCCTTTTCGGCCTCCCCACACAAGACGACGCAAGAAGCGCCTGGGAATTCCCCCGAGACAACCCAGGATACCCCAAAAACGCCCCCAGACGGCCCAAGCACCAAGACGGCCCAAGAAGCGCCCCAGATGGCCCAAGAGGACCCCAGGACGTCTCCAGATTGCCTCCAAGAAGAGGCCCGCGAGAAGCCAGGCACGGGTGCGGGATGGGCCACAGGCCAATAGATGAGCACCACACGGGCTTCAAAATTGTTGACCTAAATGGCGTGGCGCAATTATGGCTCATCCTGCTCCGGGGCAAGATTTATGTAAATCTAATTGGTAGGCAACCTTCAAAAATTGATCGACGTTGTACACGTGTTGCACATTCGCAAAAATATGGCGCTCGCCTTCGGTAATCAGAGCAATTACCCGCGCAGCCGCCTGGCCCCGGATGGCCTTGTCCTTCTCAGTTGCGAATTTCCCAATATCTGGCAGGAAAGTGAACTGAGAGCTCTCGTGTTTCCGAATGGAAGCGACGATGGCGGGGTGGGCGACCTTAAAGGGCTCAGTGATGAAGACGGCCCGCCTGGTCTTGGTGTACTGCTTGAGTTTCAAACTCACCCCGTGGCGCTCCGTGATAAACGCAGAAGGTTGCATAATCCAAGCACCAATGAAACCAGCAGCAAACGATATCTCCCTGGGGAGTTGTCCTGGATTGTTAGTAATGATTACAATAGCATCTGTGTAGTCATCCACCAGTTCCATACTCATGGTTGCAATTTTTCCCATCATGTCAGGCGTGCGCATGTCACCTTCCGCCCAAATCTTAAGACCCGCCAGCTCATCGCGAGAGGGGTACTCCCGACCCGCAATCTGTTGCAGCGTTTTCTCCCGCCGCTCTCTCGCGACCATGTTCTTGCCAACTTTCTTGAAATATTCATCCGCTTTGTCCATGATGTCTTGCGTGACCTCTTCGGGACGAACAGTGCCTGCCCTGATAGATTCGAACATCTTGATCTGTTGTTTCTCTAGGTTGAATGCAACTTCGCGCCTGTGTTTGTCTGTCCAGACATCGCCCAAGTCTTCGACACGAGGTGCTTTCGAAGGTGGATGGGCTTTGACCGTATCAGCCACTGATTGCCGCCTCTTCTCCAGGAAGCCCTTCTCCGAGGGCATCGTGGGCAGCTCCAGCTGCTGAGCCGGCCTGGGGGCGCCTGCGGGGCTCCCCCCACGCGCCCCGACCCACCTCCAAACAAGAAAAACGATTCCCAGGCCCCCCTGGGGGAAGTTCCTCCTGGGGCTTTGCGATCCCAGGTATGTTGTGCGTCCCCAGGAACCCGAAAGCGCACCGTTGAATACGGAAAGCGAACGCAAACATTCGAAGCTCACCAGACCCCACTTGTTGGAGGAAGAGAAGGAGCAGGTGGGGGAGGAAGTAGCAAGGAGGAGAGGGAGGAGGATGATGAGGAGGACAAGGAGGATGAGGAGGGCATTCCGCGGAACTGTCTTGGAGCCGTCTTGGGACTTCTTGTAACACACACACACACACACGCACACACACACACACACACACACACACACGCACACACATACACACACGCACGAGCATTTTCTCGAGGAGGGGCCCAGCGTGAAGATCTACAGTGCGATCTACGGTGTAGATCTGCAAATTCCAATTCTCTCCTTAGCCACCACCAGAGACAATATTTCGGCCGCCCTGGGGGGTTCTTGGAGCCTCTTGGGCCACCAGAGGCACACTTTGGGACCTCTGAGAGCCACCTTGAATCAATATTGGCCCCTATTCGCCCTCCCGCTCCCGCCCCCCCTTCCCTTTCTCCCCCCTCGTCCCTGTCATCATATGCCTCATCCCCATTTCCCTCATCATCATCCTCCTCCGCCTTGTGCTTTCCATTACCATGATCCTCCTCATCATCGCCCTGGGCCTTTATCGGATCTGGCCTCGGTGGGATCCCTCGCGGACTTGTAGAGTTCCTTCCACGTGTCCTTGGCGCGCTCCAAGACAACGTCATCGAACTGCGGCTCGCTCAACAACACGACAACTGTGTCAGACTCGACTGTCTCAGCAGCGTTGAGACGCTGATCGCCAAGAAAAGATTGAATTCTGCTGAAATTGTGCTCGATGATGGAATCGCTGGACGTGAAGCAACTGTACACCACGAGCGCCATCTCCAAATTCGAGGCCACGTGCCTTTTCCGGGAAGCCGCTGAGCTCGTCGAGTGCAGGGCCCACCGCCAGGCCTCCAAGTTCGAGGACTTCTTCTGCAGGAAATGGCTGCGGGCAAACCGTCCCAAATCGAAATACTCAGAGATCAGACCTTCCAAAGATAAACCGATGCTGCTTGCGATTCGACCAAGCGACTCGTCGAAGTGCTTGGGGCGCCCGTGGCGCCGAAAGTCTTGCGCTGTTTGGTCAACCCAGCTGTTGAGGTCAAAGCAGCAGAAGGACGAGATAATCTCAAAATCTGGGTGTTCGGCCCGCACGACCTGAGGCCAGGAGAATTGAACTGCCCAATGTGACAACGACCACGCGGGTTGAGGTTGGGCGAGGGGGCCTATCGCGCCCGATTGGCGCTGGAACCCCGAGATGGCCCGAAACGGGCCCAGGGGGACCCCACAGAAGATTCCACGAGGGCTCGAATGCGACCCTGGGAGCGCCCAAGCCGCCCGAATTGCTTTCCCAAAGGGCCCCAATATGTGATTGTTCGCCTTCCACAATTACGCCACCCAACAGCGCCTCCAAGGCTGCAAACACATGCTCGAGAGAACCCCAAGAAGGCTTCAACAACAGCTCCGAAAATGACACCAACGCATTCCCGAGGGAGCCCAAGAACGCCCAGAGAAGGCCCCAAGAGGTGCCTGTTCAAGTCCACGCCCTCCACGATGGCCCCCAGAAGGCCTCATGCACCCCAGAAGGGCGCCAGAGCGAAAACTCCGTAACAACCTGTGCGGTTGAATCGCCACCGTCGTCATCACCATCGCATTATATTGCATCCTCCTCCTCCGTCTCCCGCCTTGTCGTCCTCGTCATCCTCCTTATCATCCTCCTCTGCGCCCTCCTCCTCCTGCTCCCGCTTCTCCTTCTCCTCGTCGTCTTCCTCCTCCTTCTCCTCCTCATCCTCCTTCTCCTCCTTCTCTCCCTCCCACCCCATCATCCTCCTTATCCTCTACCCTCCTTCCTACCTGGGGTCCGTGCGCATCCCCATGGTTCCACTCAGGCTGGTTCTCTACTGGCATCCCCAGCTCTCTGTTCCACTGCATGCCCCTACTGGCCATGGCAACTCGCCCAGGCGTAGCTTTGGGATGGTTGGTGGGGATACGCGCAGCGCCTGGATTTCGGAGGGAGGTGAAAATCTCGAACCACACTCGGCGTGCCAACCTATTCAAATCAAACGGGGAGTCGACGGTCGCCCCCCCAAAAAACTGGAAATGACAAAATTGCACACGTAGGTATTCGTTGGCCCTGCCAGACCTGGACGGCCAAGTGCGCCCACGCGGTCATGCGCCGGAGAACGCGGTCCCTGAGTGCTGCCGTGACTGCCCTGGGCCCGCCGACAGAGCGCAATTCGCCATCAGCCATAAAATGCGTAGCGTCCTGCAAGAACTTCAAGCACACCTGGGTGTGCCCCTCCACGGTGAAAACATGCCCATCGCAAAACAGCTTGTGGACTACCTCTGTGAAGTCGGCGACCTGTTTGCATACTAGCGCTGAATCCGGCTCTGGCGTGTCGAAGAACCTGATCAGGCACATGCACTCATCTGCCGCGTCTGCTAGCATCGCCGCCTGCAGCATCAACTCCTCGTCGATGTTGATCAGGCATGACTTGGCGAATCGAAAAGCCCTGTCGCCAGTGTCCTGCCGCTCCACAACCACCCGCGCGAGGAACGAAAAGCACGCCTCCCAGTCGAGACAGATTCTGGAAAGGGGTGTGCACATGGACTCAAATCTGTGCTTGGCCGCCCTCATGTTGGAAAACGTGGAGCTCACAACCTTTGTTGACGATTTGCGGGAGCACTCAGTATAGATGGCTCGAAGGTCGTCCGAATGCTGAATCAGCTGCGCTATGCTCGAAGATTCCGTGATGAGGCAGCTGGCGACGAAAGACAAGTAGGTGTCGCACGCCCATGGCCTTTGCAATATCCGACGGCTGGCGTGCGCCTTGTCGCGGATGATGAACTTCAGGTTGGGCGCAAAAGCCTCTTGACCAATCCTCTGCGAGATAACAGACTGGTTTGACATCATGTTTTCCGCCGAAGCCACCTCGTTCGATGCCGCATCGACCGTCAATGCATGCACGCTGATGCGCATGTGGTTGTACAAGTCATCATCGTATTGTATATTGGCGTCTTTAGGGTCGATGTATGGAGCTCCAAAGTTCTTAGTAGCGAACTGCTTGAACAGCTCATCCGTCGCACTTGAAATGTTGGTCGACGTGCCCTTGGTGACCTTCGGCTGGCCCATGACCCCGATGTGGTGGTTTGCCATCGCATCTGCACAGCGGAAACGAACTAGCAGTCGCGAGTGGCGTTCGTCCCGAAGTATGTTCACGCTGACTGCCTCCTTCAGCCACGCCCTGTGCATTCTCTTGTTCCCCTCAGCCAAACAGAAGATCATCTTTTTGCATTTGCGGTATGTGCCGACCGCAGGCACGCCCTTGCTGATGGCGCCACCGTCTCGCATCCACTTCAAGAGCGCCTGGAATTGCTCGCTTGATGGGCTCGCGTTCTCTGGGATGTGGCCGACTCCGGACGGGACAGACTCGCCGATCAACGAATACAAGAGGACCCCAACTGCGGCCACGTGGGCGTCGGACGTCTCGTGCACCTTCAAACGGTATGGGCGGAGCTGCGAAGTCGTCTTGCAAGAAAAGGTAGCAAAGATATCCTTATTGCACGCTGGCGCCAGCTCCGCGCAAATCGAACACCCAAATTGAAACTCCTTATCGACGACTTTATAACATAGCCATTGCTCACCGAGGATTTTCTCTGGCAACCTACTGATGACATCTGGGCCGAACTCGTTCACGACATTTGGACTCACCAAGGGCCGGCTGCCTACATGGCTTGCAAAGAGCCCGCAAGGGCAAGGCGCCGGGTTAGAGTGCTCGCACACGCCGCACACGCCCATGAGCGCAAATGCTACATAACGGATGAAGGGGGCGAGGAAGTATGGATATGGATGAGGAGGAGGAGGAGGAGGACATGGAGGAAGTAGAGGGGGATGATGACGAGGGGGGGGGGGCGGGGGGAGAGGGGCAGGAAGAGGAAGATGAGGAAGAGCCCCTGCGGGCCCTCCGTGACGCCTTGTCGCGTTCTGGTTTCGGGCGCCGCGTCCAGCGTTCAATCTTGAACGATCTCCGCACTTGGAGGCCCCGAGTTCCCGAAGGCTGGCCCCCGGAGGCCCCGCGTTTCGAAACAAGCCCCTCGAGCGTAGCCTTGAGCGCCCGCGCCAGGCATGGCGGCCCCTCTCTTGCTCCTGCTCCTGCTCCGCCTCATCCTCCTCTTCCTCCTTCTCCAACTCCTCCTCCTCCGCCTCCTCCGCCTCCTCCCCCTCCTCATCCTTCTCCTCCTCCTCCTCCGCCTCCTCCTCAGCCTCGCCCATCTCTTATCCCCCCCCCCCGCCGCCGACGAGCCGGCGGCCCCGCGAGCAGGGCGGAGTGCACGCGGCAAGCGCGTCCGACCAGAAATCGGCGGGCCCGATCGCGCCGCCGCAACTCCGAGAGGAGGAAGACGAGGGGATGGAGGATGAGGAAGAGGATGAGGAGGAGGACGAGGAGGAGGAGGAGAGGTAAGGGTAGGAGGCGGAGGACGAGGAAGAGGGGGGAACAGCGGACGGACAGACGGAGTTGGGGGAAGGAAGTGGGAGGACAGAGGGAAGGGGGGAGTGCGATGGGGGAGTGAGGAGGGAAAATGGATAGATAGGCACGATGGGGCCAGGACCAAGGGAACTTGTTGCACAGGACGCAGCGCGGGAGTCAGCTGCGCCACATCTGCACACGGGGCAAGAGGCGGAGCAGGATGCGAAGAAGGAGGAATGCACGTAGACAGATTCTGGATCCTCCCCCCTCTCTCCTGTATCCTCCCTTCTCTCTCTACTGCCCCATCTCATCCGTCATGCATCCTCAATCTATGTCTCTCCAATCGGAGAAGACAACGCGCGGGGCAGCGGCCTAAGGTTGCATGTAGCGCTCATCGACGTCGCGGGTCACGTCGATTCTGGCTGCCTTCGCCTTCAGAATGTTGAACTCAGCTGTCGTCACCATATCAGCAGCCAGCAATAGATCTGGAAGAAGGGAAGCCACGACCGTGAGCGTCATGGCGTTGCCCATGAGCCCGCCGTATTGCGTCGGTGAGATGCCGAGCTGCTTCCACGGGATGAGGCCTGCGGGGAAGCCCTGGATGCGGCCGAGCTCATCGGGGTCCAAATGCCCACCCTTGTACGTGCACCAGTAACCCAGCCTGCCAGCCTCCCGATGACATATCGTCGGAGCAATCCCCACCTGACTCACAGACCGATAAGAAGAGGTACCTGTCTCTATGATGATCGGCGTAAGGAAAGGATTGTAGCCCTCCGCAAGGCGCTTCTCCAAGTGTTTCTGCACGTTCTCGCAAGCCAGCTGCCCGTCCACCTCCGGGGTCGGGAGCATCCTGAACACGTCCGGGGGGAGCTTCGCGACGCAGTCGGCCAGAGCAGGGGGCTCGCGGGTGTCAGGCACCATCATCTTCCAATGAATGTTCCGACAGTCCAGGATGCCTGCAAGGTATACTCGGCTCCTGCTCTGCGGAGCTCCGAACATATTACTGGCAAGGATGTTCCAGCCGACTGTATATCCCGCATCTGTACGCATGCCCCCTCAAAGGAGAAGCAACACACGGTTTGATTGCTGCCCAATTCGGCTGGCCTGCGAACGTGAAATCGCTGTGCTGATGTTGCTGGTGCTGCTGCGTTTTGGTGTGATGCATTATGATGCGTTGCATGCTGCTGCGTTGCAAGTTGAGGGCACATCCGCGACGCGCCCTGGGACGCAACGGCGGCTATCTTGGCGCTAAGCCGGTCATATGAGAGTTTTGATTAAGAAGTTCCAATCCGCCACCGCGCATTGCGCACGATCATGCGCGCAAAGGATAGCCAGCAGCTGCCTGGAACTATTGTTTTTGAAATCTTATAGAAACCCCCTCCTCCTTCTCCTCATTCTCCTCTTCCTCCTCCTCATCGCCCCTCCCCCTCTCCGCCTGAAGGTCGGCCCTGGATCTCTCCTGGAGCAGATCGCCATCGTCGTCAACATCATTCAGCACTACCATTGTCATCATCCCTGTCATCACCACCATCGTCATCGCCATCGTCATCTCGCCCATCATCATCATCATCCTCATCGCCATCGCAACCGCCATCCAGATTATCATCATCGTTCGAAAGCCCTCCAAGGTACTGGGTTGGCACGCCGGCGGCAATTGCATGAGGCATTTGCATGCTCCTCGTGTTTGGACTGCGTGATGTTCTTGACCTGCTCCATGAGGATGAGCTTCGGCTTGTGATGAATGATGTACGCGAGCGAGTAGGTGACCAGCTGCCCGTCCAGAACGTTTGCCCCTTCCTGGTTCCCATTGTTACTGAACGTCACGCACGGGGGGCTGAACGCGTAGACATCGCAGGGGGGGGACTTCGTGACATCTCGCTGTACAAACTTGTTCACGACAGGGCAGCCGAGGTATCTCGATATCTTCTGGCTGCAGTGCTGGAGGTCTGAGCTGAAGCAGTGGTCGAAACGAACGCCTAAGAGCTTCAGGGCCCAGATTGGAGTCTCGAGGCCCGAAAAGTCCGTACCCACTCGCAACTTCGCATATTTCGTGAGCGTCATGGTGGGATTCCGAATGGCGGGGCACAGGTGCGAGTTCACTGTCTCCACCACGACCCTGCTGAGGGGTAGTAGGACGGGGGGGGGGGGAGGCAAGGGGGGAGTACACAGGATGAGGAGAATGAGGAGGAAGGACACGCGAAGGAAAATGAGGCAGGAGAAAGGAGAGGGAGGTGGGAAAGGATGGCTTCGTCACGCCCGCTGCTGGCCTCGGACTCGGACAAGGG